CTTCAACTTGTATTCCCCTACCCCTTTAAAAATATTTATTGAATACTCCCTGTATTAACAGGTATAAGAAATGTGATTAAACATTGAAGCTTCTTTTATAAAGGTTCTAAACCTTAATTAAAATACAGCTATTGTCACTTCTCACAAAATGGAGATTGCAAGTTGTTATAAGTTAATCAGTTGTTAAGGCATTGATTCCTTATTTAGTGACTATGCAAAGGCAGCATTCACAGTGTACCTCAAACACTCATTCTATATTTAAAGCCTATTGACTTTTCAGCTTAGTGCCAACTCAAGCGTATTCAAAAAGTATTAACTTTCTTTTTTTATGGTGAGCGTTCTTACTTTTGTAGGCAGCCTTAGTGTTGACTGAAGAGACAAAAAAGTGAGACCAAGCAGCAATTAGCTGTAATGTTTTTCTTGTCATCACTAAAACATTACTTTTATTCAGGTTTTCAGGAAATGTTTGCCTTTGGGTTTTGTAACGCTAACAAGAAGCTTTAATAAATAATAGCTGTCAGGGTAAACCTAATGTGTGTGCAGAAGCTTCAAAATTCATACTATTCATTGCACAATATATGAGCTATGTCAAGCTATTTCCTCACAAATGTTCTACATGCATCTCAATACACAGCATATTCCACATGGTTAGTTAATACAGTATATAAATTATTGGAAATCCAAAAACTTCTTCAAATGATCAGTTTTGTTGACATGATTCTGTTCTCAATCAAGAGCAAAGAAAATCTTTGTTCTTGGAGCACAAATCTAGGCTACTTAATCTGATATAGGAATATGCCACATCTCCTTGGTAGAAACATATTTGAGTTTCTCTAATTGTCTAGATGTGGGATAATACATATAGTTCTCTTCCCCCATTTGTTTTCATCTCATTTGATTGTTGTGTGTTAAGACTATTTTCTATGTAGTATTTTTGGAGATTATAAAGAAAACTAAAAAGACAAGAAATGATTTAAAACTTCTTTTTCGGAAGATGTCTGATTTTATTTAGCTGTCTATCTTGTGCACTGTCCCTTACCTTTTCTTATCCTTATTGCTTTACTTCCAGCAGCCATCAAAGATGCATTGCTGGACTTACACTTTCAGTGACCCTAGATAGCCAACGTTTGGCTTAATTTAATTAGTTAAATTAATTTGTGTAAATCAATTTGTAAATGTGTAAATCAATATTTTTAAATGTGTAAAAAAAATATACAACAAATGTAATTTTTATTGCACTATGACCATACGGGAAGCTGCGCGTGACAGAGAAAATCTTGCTAAAAAGATATTGACACTCCTGTCTCTGGGTTTCCATTCAGTTATAGCATGAGCAGACATTAAGGCTCTTTTTCCTGTCCTATGGTACCTTACAAAAGGTACCCAACTTGGAACATACTTAGGCACTATCATTGTGCAAATTAGTCTTTTGAGTCTGACAAGAACCATAGTAATTTTAGTTTTAAAAAACGGTGCTAGTGACAGTGCATTTGCCTAGGGTTTTTTATTTTTTATTTATGATTGTGAGGTCAGTCTGCATAACTAGCCAGCCATAGATGAGGGCAAGCAATGGGGCTGCCTGCGGTGCTATAAGCTGCTAGAGCCTACTACTGGAATTTGGAGTGTTTGCCCCCAGTTGCTTGTTTTTAGTAGGTGCCAAGTTCTGCTTTGCTCAAGGCTAAGTTACACCAAAGGTCTGACAGATTGGCTTCTCAAAACTGGTATCACAGTCACATAGGGCCTCATCCTGCATCAGTGACGTTGATAGGAACTTTGCCATTGACTTCAGTGGGAGCAGGCCCATAGTGACTTATTTTGTTGTAATAAAATCAAGAGGAAATATCTGCTTGGAGGGTGAGGTACATAGTGGAAAGAGAATCCTGTGCATGAACTCTTCTCCATGGGAGACACTCACACTTGTTCTTTAGCCAGCTGTGTTTTCAGCTGAATTACTTAGCCAGATGGGGAGTCCAAACCTACAAACAGTGCTCTGTGTAGAAAGAGCCTCAAGATATTAACCTAAACTTGAGCAATAATTAGTTAACTGTTATCTTTTAAATATTAAGGGAGTATTGTATTATAGAAAGCTCTCCTGTAGAAAACAACAGTTATTCTGTTGCCTAATATACAGTAGCTGCTGAGTCTCTGGTTATCTTAATTAAACATATAGTATCTTTGACTCTAACTCATTGCTTACTTAGTTGATTTGAAAGTTAGTGTATTTGAGTGGAAGTTTGATGCCCATATATCTGACTTTCTGATAACAAGTAAAGAGATAAGTTAGGCTTGTTAAAACTTGTTGGGAACCTCTGTTTGACTGAAGGGCTAATGGCGTAGGAATGAAAGTAAGGAGTAATGTTAGTTGGCACACATTCAAGAAGAAAGTAGACATTTCTCTCCTTACCACACCTGCCCAACAAAATATTATAGAACAGCTCGGTTTTCTTTTCAAATTTTTGTGCCATACATCCATGTATTTGGCTTACAATAACATCACAAGTCAGTACAAATAATGCAATTATTAACTTTTAATCCAATTTGATTTATACTGGGATTTCTTCACAAGAACTTAAAAGGATGCTGTCAAAATGTCAGAGAGAAAATTTTACTTTATTTATTTCTATGCCTTTAAAAAGTGCCTATCCAATAGTCCCTTGTACCGGCACATCAGTTTAAATATTACTTACAATATTTATAATAGAGACAGCCAGTCCAATCTACCTAGCTCCATATAGTTAGAGCACCAGAATAATCAAACAAATCCCCCATTCCCTCTCACATCCACCAAATGACCTGGAAGAGGGATGGGCTTTACATAATGCTTTGACATTAACAAATTAAGGTTACTTCAAACTGAGGTTGGTGGTGGAGTAAGGGGGTTAATTCAAAATTTGAGAGCAACTCAAGCAAAATGTCCTGCCAGTAGCTCCTTCTTACCAGAGGGCTCTATCCTGAATGCCTCTGCTGGTCACAAGGGTAGAAGTACACCATGGAGTGAGAACCTGTCTTTCAAGTAAGCAGGTCCCAGTCCCTTGAATAGACTTTGTCAGATGCACTACTGTTACTTGTGAAAATTTCCTTCACATGTGCTTTAGAGTCCACCCTGTGGTGGAAAGAGAGAATGTTCATTTAACTGTGGCCTTTTTGTGACCTTTTTTTTTTTTTAAGCAAAGAATACATCATTGTAAAATAGAGACTAGAAAAGCTTTTCTGAAAGCTTTTTACAAGTACATAATCAACGTGGTTATCTCCAGTTTGTCGAGAGTGTGACTAAAATGAAAAGTCTTGGGAACCGTTTGGCTGATGTGCAAATCTCCAGATTCAAATTTAGGATCCTTTGAGGCTTTTGCTGGGTTCATATGGAGATACATATACCAGATGCTATAGTGTACATTTCTGTAATTTGTGTGTTTGCCACTATTTTCAGTGGACAGCATTATATCTGGTTTATCTGGGGAACAGCTATTATGCTTATGGAACACATTCACAATAACATATGTAAAACAATGGAATTCATATCTTCATAACTTGAAATTTCCATCTTTTTCCCTAAAAAAGAAGAGATCCTGGGTGATACCCCTTAATAAGCCAACCACACGTGGTCAAAAGATCCCACATTGCAGCAGTCCTTGAATTAAAGAAGGGTTGATGCTGCCCCCACTAGAGACTTCAATGTTGATCAGAATTTACCCAGGCCCCAATCATTGAAGGTATTTAGGCTCCGAACTTCCACTGAAGTCAATGGATCTGGGCCCCAGTGATTAATCTCTGTTAGATATGTTGTTTGGAAGCATTTTCAGATTCTCATTCCCATATGAGTTAAGCATGCTGCCTTCACTGCACTTAATATCTCCCAGCATACATCCCTCAGTGTCAAAAATATAGATTGTAATTTATTTGGCCTCTTTTTTTTTTTTCCTTTCCTCCCTCTTCCCAGGTTCTGATTGCCATAATTTTTGTCATCAAGTTTTCTACATGCCTTAGTGTTATTTATTGATGTTTCCATCCCATTTTTCTGCAGAACTGTTCTGTGAGTCTGGTCCTCTGTGAACCTGTTCCAGATGGATATAAACCAGGGGTGGGCAAACTGCGGCCTGTAAGCCAGATCTGGCCCACCAGCCATTTTAAGCTGGCTCTTGAACTCCTGCTGGGGAGTGGGGTCTGAGGCTTGTCCCGCTCCGGCGCGCCAGCTGGGGAGCAGAGTCAGGGGCCGCTTCACACGGCTCTCGGAAGCAGCGGCGTGGCCCCCCTCTGGCTCCTACGCGCTCCAATGGCCCTCTACGGTGCTCCAATGAGAGCTGCAGATGGGGCAGCATGCAGAGCCGCCTGGCCACACCTCTGCGTAGGAGCCAAAGAAGGGACATGCCACTGCTTCCAGGAGCTGCTTGAGGTAAGCGTCACCTGGAGCCAGCACCCCTGAGCCTTTCCCCATGCGCCAGCCCTGATCCCCCCCCGTCCTGCCCTCCTAACCCCACGATCCCAGTCCGGAGCACCCTCCTTCACCCCAAACCTGTCATCCCCAGCACCACCCCGAGCCCGCACCCTCAGCTGGAGCCCTCAACCCCCATCACCTCAGCCCAGAGCCCCCTTCCACATCCTGGACTCCTAATTTCTGACCCCACGCCAGAGCCCGCACCCCAAACCAGAGTCCTTACCTCCTCCTGCACCCCAACTCCAATTTTGTGAGCATTCATGGCCCGCCATACAGTTTCTATTCTCAGATGTGGCCCTTGGGCCAAAAAGTTTGTCCACCCCAGTATAAACAAACACACACATTTTATTTTAAATTCCTTTTCCATTTAAGAAGCGAGCAAACATTAAGACAACGTGGTTGGTTCCAAGGATCTCAATAAATCAAATCACTGATAGCTTAAGTCTGTTTTGGAATCTTTATTGGTCTTTTTCTGGAAAGAGTTGTGATAGTTGTACTTCTTTTTAGTAGATTAAAAAATTCTTATAATACAAATTAAAATTTGGATTTAAAAAAATATATTTTACAGGAATTTGAAGATCACTATGTTGAGTTTAAAGCAAAAATCCTGGATTTTGACAGACGTCTTGGGTCAATCCTTTGTGTAGGATTTCTTGACTGTTCTGGTTTAGAATCAGCATTCAAGGTCAGTTCTGAACGAACATAACTATAAATCAGTTCTTTGTTTAAAAGTCACCATGGTGCTAGATAATAGAGTTGAATATTTTTGACTTTTAATCCAGATGAAATATTACTGAGTCATATAAGTGGCTCAGTAATCACAAATACTAGATATAAAGTATTATAATAATACGTTCTTGAGTGCAATTCATCTTTAGGAGGTTATTCTAGGACATCTCTAATCAAGTTGAAAGTTGGAGACTAAGGACAGTCAGCTCCTGTAGAAGTCAGCTGGAGTTTGTGAATGACTTCAGTGTGAGCAGGATCAGCCCTAATATTTTTAATACTACAGACATTTTAAATAAAGTTATGAATGCAAGTCCCTTCCAGACATTGAACCACTGTTAAGGCCTGATCCAAAGTCCATTAAAGTCAATGGAAAGGTCCCCATTTCAATGGGCTCTGGATCAGGCTTTTGTCCCCCTAGTCCAAAAAGCACTTAAGTGTTTTATTTTTAAGTATATGAGTAGTTCCATTGGGCTCAATCCGGCAAGGTGCTGAGTGCCTCCTGACCTGAGGCAAAGGTGATGTACTGGGGAGGGGGCATGCAGGATCACATGCCTCCCCAGATTTCTGCCTTCCATTTCCAGCACTGGCAGGGCGGAGCCACTGCAGTGCAGGGGGCTCAGCAGGGTTCCGGGGATCTCCATGGAGGGACTATCCATGCCAGGCCATTGGAGCAGGTGGTGGCAGCAAGAGGGACAGGGTTGTTGCCTGCACCCAGAAGTGGGAGCCAGGCTGGGGGGGAACCAGCAGATCCCATCCCTACCTTCCCTGAACCAGCCATGGGTGCTGGGCTCCACAGGGGCTTCAGTGAATGGAGAAGCCTAGAGGATGGAGAAGCCCTGCACACCTTGGGGCCAAAGCACAGGCCTACCAGGGCAGCAGTGAAGAGGGCTTGAAGCCATTGCCTGGGGGACTGCTGCAAAGCCTGTGAGTTTGGGGCAGGAATGGGCTGGAAATCGCTTCTCCCTGCTCCACTCCAGCACTTACCTGAGGAGCAAAGAGGTTCCCCTGTGCCTGCGCTGCATGGGGATCCGGGAAGCTTTAGCACATGCAGGGCTCAGCTCCTTTTGGGCTGTGCTGGAGGGCTTTCCTGGGGCCCTGGCCCAGCCAGAGGTGGTGAGGGAGGAAGGAGCCTGCTGGGCAGGCTGCATGTGTGCTGAGCGCTCCTTCCAGGGGCTGGTTCTCTGCACAGTGCTGGGAGCAGCAGGTGCTCCACCGGGGGTATATGGAGCAGCAGCACGGGTTGGGGGCTGAAAGGGCAAAGCAGGGAGGGGACAGTGAGAGGGGAGGCAGAGAGAGAAGGAGAGCATGCAAAGGGCCGATGGTGGGCAGCAGAGGCGACGTGTGGGGTGGTGAGGAGCCTCCCAGAACCTTTAAATTGTGCCCCCCTCTCTTTCAACGGTTACCTGTCGTCTCTGCCTGAGTGAGAGTTTGGATCATCTAGCACTTCCCAGAAGCCCTCAGCCCCTTGTGGAAGGGCACTCATAGAAAATTACTTTTCTCATTGTTTATAATGTTTTGTGAAGTAATCTTTTCTGGTATTCATATATATAAGTACTTTTTTAAAACATACCCACTATGCTTAGCTTATTTATCTGTTTTTTGTGGCAGTAGATTTTCTGTGAATGTCATGTTTAGTACTATAGGTGGAAATTCGCAAGCTCCCAATTAATGTTTTGTGTGTTCTGTGCATTGCATGCAGAGGGTGAAAGCGAAATAATCCCAAATGAAAAATAGTTCTATGATTTTTTCACTTTGTCACTAAAACCTGCTGCTTTATCCAGCCTTTGAAGAACTATTTGTTTGCCTTTGGATTTTGTAATGTTAAACATAAGGTACGGAAAACAATAACTGTCAGGACAAAGTCAATACTGTGATTTGTTAGTCAGGTAGTAGCTATACACCATGTAGATTACATTCAAATTGTGTCAAGGTAGGTCTTGTAAACTGTTTAATAATGCACAGTGTGTCTAGGACAATTGTAGTTAATATTCAACTAAATAATTTGAAGTGCATTTTTCTTATGTTGCCACCTTGGATGCAGTTGAATGTATGCTTTGTTGTAATTCTTTCTCTCCTTTTTAAAGTTATGCTATTTCTTGCAGTGAATTTGGATGCGCTGAGCAGGGTTAAGACGCAAGGTAGTTTTAAAAATTCAGTTAATGCGTAATTTATGGACTTCAGATCTGTTTAACCTTTAAATACTCCAGGCATAGCATATGCCATGAAAACTGAATCTCATACATTCTTCATAGAATGTAGCTGTTTTTCCTGCTTCTGGATTGTCAAATAGTAGACTTTGTTTTAGAAAGGCATTCACCTACATAAAAACAGCCATACTGGGTCAGAACAAAGGTCCATCAAGCCCAGTATCCTGTCTTCCGACAGTGGCCAATGCGAGGTACTTGAGAGGGCGTGAACAGAACAGGTAATCATCAAGTGATCCATCCCCTGTCACTGATTCCTAGCTTCTGGCAAAACTGAGGCTAGGGACACCATCTCTGCCCATCCTGGCTAATAGCCATTGGTGGACATATCCTCCATGAACTTATCTAGTTCTTTTTGAACCGTTATAGTTTTGGCCTTCACAACATCCTCTGGCAAGGAGTTCTACAGGTTGACTATGCCTGGTGTGAAGAAGTATTTCCTTTTGTTTGTTTTAAACCTGCTGCCTATTAATTTCATTTGGTGACCTCTAGTTCTTGTGTTATGAGGAGTAAATAACACCTCCTTATTTACTTTCTCCACACTAGTTGTGAATTTATAGACCTTTATCATATCCCCCCTTAGTCATCTCTTTTTCAGGCTGAAAAGTCCCAGTCTTTTTAATCTTTCCTCATGCAGAAGCTGTTCCATATCCCTAATAATTTTTGTTGCTCTTTTCTGTATCTTTTCCAATTCAATATATCTTTTTTTTGAGATGAGGCAACCACATCTGCTCGCAGTATTCAAGATGTGGGTGTACCATGGATTTATATAGAGGCAATATGATATTTTCTGTCTAATTATCTATCCCTTTCTTGATGATTCTCAACATTCTGTGAGCATTTTTGACTGCTGCTGCACAGTGAGTGGATGTTTTCAGAGAACCATCCACCATGACTCCAAGATCTGTTTCTTGAGTGGTAACAGTTAATTTAGACCCCATCTTTTTATATGTATAGTTGGGATTGGGATGTTAATCTATGTGCCTTTATCAACAATTAATTTCATCTGTCATTTTGTTGCCGAGTCACCCAGTTTTGTGAGATCCCTTTGTAACTCTTCGCAGTCTGCTTTGGACTTACGAAACTACTCAATTTAGTTGTCTGCAAATTTTCGTCTGCAAATTTTGCCACCTCACTGTTTTTATCCCCTTTTCCAGATCATTTATGAATATGTTGAATAGTACTTGTCCCAGTACAGACCCCTGGGGGACACTACTATTTACCTCTCTCCATTCTGAAAACTAGCCATTTATTTCTACCCTTTCTTTCCTATCTTTTAACCAGTTACCAATCCATGAGAGGACCTTCCCTCTTATCTCATGACAGCTTACTTTGCTTAAGAACCTTTGATGAGGGACCTTGTGAAGGGGTTTCTGAAAATCTAGGTACACTATATCCACTGGATCACTTTTGTCAACATGATTGTTGATCTCCTGAAAGAATTCTAGTAGGTTGGTGAGGCATGATTTCCTCGTGTTGATTCGTCCCCAACAAATCATGTTCATCAATGTGTCTGATAATTCTGATTTTTAATGTAATTTCAACCAGTTTGCCCGATACTGAAGTTAGGCATACCCACTTGTAATTGCCAAGATCATCTCTGGAGCCTTTTTAAAAAATTGGCATCACATTAGCTATCCTCCAGTCATCTGGTACAGAAACTGATTTAAATGATAGGTTACATACCACAGTTAGTAGTTCTGAAGAAACTCAAATGTGAAATTGAAGAACTCTTGTGTGAATACCATCTGGCCTTGGTAACTTATTACTGTTTAGTTCTGGGGTGGGCAAACTACGGCCTGCAAGCTGGGTCTGGCCCATCTGCCATTTTAATCCGGCCCTTGAGCTCCCGCTGGGGAGCAGGGTCGGGGGCCACTCCATGCGGCTCCCGGAAGCAGTGGCATGGCCTCCCTCTGGCTCCTATGCGTAGGGGCAGCCAAGGGGCTCTGCTCTGTATGCTGCCCCTGCCCCAAGCACTGCCCCTGCATCTCCCATTGGCTGGGAGCCATGGCCTTGGTAACTTATTACTGTTTAGTTCAGGGGTGGGCAAACTACGGCCTGCAGGCTGGGTCTGGCCCATCTGCCATTTTAATCCGGCCCTTGAGCTCCCGCTGGGGAGCAGGGTCGGGGGCCACTCCATGCGGCATCTGGAAGCAGTGGCATGGCCTCTCTCTGGCTCCTATGCGTAGGGGCAGCCAAGGGGCTCTGCTCTGTATGCTGCCCCTGCAGCACCCATTGGCTGGGAGCCATGGCCAATGGGAGCTGCAGGGGCGGTGCCTGCAGATAGGCCAGTGTGCAGAGCCGCCTGGCCATGTCTCCACATAGGAGCTAGAGAAGGGACATGCCCAGTGCCGCCCAGAGGATTCAGAGGTCATGGGGCAAAGCAATTTCGGGGGCCCCTTCCATAAAAAAATGTTGCAATACTGTAGTATATTTCCCCAGGGCCTGGACAAATTGCCCCACTTGCCCCCCCTCTGGGTGGCTCTGGACATGCCACTGCTTCCAGGAGCTGCTTGAGGTAAGCGCCGCCCAGACCCTGCACCCCTGAGCCTCCCCCGGCACCCCAACCCCCTGCCCCAGCACTGATCCCCCTCCCACCCTCCAACCCCTTGATCTCAGCCTGGAGCACCCTCCTGCACCCCTCATCCCCAGCCCCACCCCAGAGCCCGCACTCCCAATCGGTGCCTGCACCCCTTCCCGCACCCCAACCCCCTGCCCCAGCTCTGATACCCCCTCCCACCTTCCAAATCCCTTGGTCCCAGCCTGGAGTACCCTCCTACACCCCAAATTCCTCAGCCCCACCCCAGAGCCTGCACCCCCGCCCAGAGTCCCCTCCCACACCCTGAACTCCTCATTTCTGGCACCACCCCGGATCCGGCACCCCCAACCAGAGCCTGTATCCCAACCCCAATTTTGTGAGCATTCATGGCCCACCCTACGATTTGTATTCCCAGATGTGGCCCTTGGGCCAAAAAGTTTGCCCACCCCAGGTTAGTTTATCAATTCGTTCCAAAAACTCCTGTAATGACACCTCAATCTGGGACCGTTCCTCAGATTTGTCAACTAAAAAGAATGGCTCAGGTTTGGGACTCTCCCTCACATCCTCAGCCATGAAGACTGATGCAAACAATTCATTTAATTTCTCCGCAAAGGCCTTATTGTCCTTAAGTGTTCCTTTAATATCTCAATCGTCCAGTGGCTCCACTGGTTGTTTAGCAGGCTTCCTGCTTCTGATATACTTAAATTTTTTTTTTTTTTTTGCTATTTCTTTTGAGTCTTTGGCTAGCTGTTCTTCAAATTCTTTTTTGGCCTTCCTACTTATATTTTTACACTTCAGTTGCCAGAGTTTATGTTCCTTTCTATTTTCCTCAGTAGGATTTAACTTCCACTTTTTAAAGAGTGCCTTTTTGCCTCTCACTGCTTCTTTTACTTTGTTGTTTAGCCACGATGGCACTTCGTTGGTTCTCTTACTATGTATTTTTAAAATTTTGGGATGTACATTTAATTTGAGTCTCTATTATGGTGTCTTTCAAAAGTTTCCATGCAGTTTAGTAGGATCACATTAGATCAGGAGACCAGTGTCTCACTGGGAAAGGAGGAAGATCTCTGGACTGTGAGAAAATGGAAGAGAGAAGATCTCAGAAAGATCAGAGCAGTCTGCAGGCTAAGGAAGTTACTTTCCCATCTTCATTTGAATTTGAAAATCCCAGCCCCGTGGTTTTAAGAGACATAAATTAAACATTCACACCAGAAGCCTTTTGCAGTACACTCGTTTAGTACGATTTAATAGCATATTGGCAAACATATAGGGCCAGATTCTCAACTGGTGCAAACTGGGGGTCTAGCTCCATAAAGATTTGGCTCACACGCTTCAGGAATGCTATTTTTGATGTGAGATTTTCAGTGTGAAATAAGACTAAAAAGGTACTTTTAATACAAATTTGAAGTATTATAAATGATGGAATCTGACACTCTTTAATTTTTATAGCTTTTAGCCATCTTTGGCTATTTTCTAGAGAAACCTGTTATCGTGGAGATTTTTAGCCCAAATTACAACATCTTACTGCAAATGTTTGATGAAGAGCTGAACAATTGCAGACAGTTGTATGAAGAGCACATTAGGCAGGTATGTAGCAAAGCAAAAATAAAAGCAATATTTTCCTGGTTTTTGTTAGGTGTAGCCAATGAACTCTTAATTCATAATTGCTTGTATACTCATTTTGTTATATTAATGCTTGCAGGTGGAAGAGGGGAATGAAATAATAAACAAAAATATGCCATTTACTTCAGGAAACCTTAAATGGTCCAAAGCACTTCGAGAACGAATACAGACATTCTGGTCAAACTTCTCATATCTGTCTCACCGGTGAGTGTTCACACTCAGTTATTTATGACTGTAGCATTAACAGCCCTAGAACATGGCATTGCCAATTATTGGTGAAAAAGAGTAATTTGTAAGGGTTGTCCATCTCTCTCCCAGGAATCTACCAAATATGCATTGCTTACATAATATGATTTTTCAGATTTGTACATATTGTCTTAAGGTAAAGAGACTTCATGGCTTTAGCAGTTTACTTCATATTATTTTTTCACTGTAATATCAAGATTTGAGAGATGGAGACATTTTGTTATCAGACTGGAATTGACAAGAACTCAAAACATAACTATTGTAAAAAAAAAATAAAAAAAATCTGTATTTGTATATGAAATTTTAATGGCTTCACGTAAAATTTTATTATTTATTTTTATTATAGCGCTTGAGAGCCCCAGTCATGCACCAGGATCTACTTTTAAAGGAGGCATCTAAATTACACTATAATCTTGTGTGCCATTTTAATGTAAATGTTTTTCTATGTGCATAATCTTTGATGTTAAAACAAAAATAGCATGTATATGAAATGTTGGGCACAGTTTTAGAGACTGTATTGTGGCCCCTTTGCAACTGTGGCACTTTTTAGTTTACTTCCTTGTTTGCGCATTAGAATTGTTGATGTCAATACAAGTTGAGGAACAGTTTTAGGGCCTGAATCTGCAAAATGAACCACACATATAGAACTTTTAGCCAGTGCAGCTCTCTTTGCAGGTTTGGGGCCCTCGGTAGTAAGTGCTGATACACACAGAGTGAACTTCTCTTATGGGTATCCTGTACAACCTCAGAATTGCTTTTTAATCTTTGTAAAAAGTGTTGTCTGATGGGTGAATCACAAACAAAACAAAGCTGAGCACATCTTTGCTTTTGAGACAACACTAACTTGTACTCTGTTTAAGCAAAAACTTTATTCTACATGCGTAAAACTTTCAAAAGTGCCTAAATGGGACTTCGGGGTGTTCAGAACCCACACTGGGACTAAGGAACAGACTCTGCCCCACCACACCTGCAGAGCCTACTGCAGCAGGAGCTTTAAAGGGAGCCAGATAGCTCAGAAGGAAGACAGACCAGATAAGAGGGATAGACCTGTCTTGAGAGCTCTCGTGCAACGGCCACAGCAGAAGCCCTTACTGCAAAGAGGGGCCTTAGGAGAGGGTCCAGGGAGGAGACCCAGGAGAGAGGTAGCTGGGAGGTTTCTCTCTTGGGCTAAGGACTGAAAGAAGCATGGGAGATGGAGTCCTGAACTGGGAGCCTGACGGAGTCAGGTGCTAATCAGGGACTGCAGCAGAGTGTGCTAGCCCCCAGGTGGGCAGTTGGGGGGGAGGGGAGGCACAATCCGTGACCTTGGCCCAGTATGTAGCTGGGGCTAGCCTGCAAGGAACGAGGCTATCAGCTGAGCTCAGCTGGGCTGAAGATTCTGTTTTTGCTATTTTCTGTTAGATTTTAAGAACTTCGAGGCCTTGTGGGAGGCAAATGGTAGGAGTTAGGCGTGGTGCTGCCTAAATGCTAGGCAGCACCATCGGTAAGCCCAGCCCCTGTGACAGGGCTTAAGTCACTTAGGTTGTTTTAAATTTTTGTATCCTATCTCTTCAGTTCCAATATATACTTCTTAATATGAGGCAACACCATGGACGGAGTGTTCCACTAAGAAAAAATATATGTACTTCAATAGCGAAACAGAAACCAGCACTGTTCTGAGATCAGTGTGGGACAGCCTTTTGGAATTATTGGGAAATAGGTACAACCACTGAGGAAGGCGAGGGAGCATGCCCTCTCCCTTCCACACAGCTTTTTTTATTGTCCTCAGTGAGGCTGTTAGGTCTAATGCATTCTCACTTTTGGTCTCTGTTTAACTTTTTATGTGGTTTGGCTGATGAGACCAGAATTAAGAAAATATTTAGAAACAGAGGACATTCTCTAAATTTTTACAATGTCAGAGGTGAGATTTTTGCATCTAAATTTATTTGGCAATGTTATTGTTAATGAATAAAATGGACTGAGTGATTTGTTTCTCTCCCAGAATCCTGGAAGGTCCTGAGATGGCTTCAGTTTATCAGAAATATATAGAGATGTTGAATTTAATTGACCAGTATGAAGAGCAGATCTACTGTGAATGGAAATCTCAGGTGGATGAAGTTTGTCAATTTAATTTAGATCAACCACTAATTAAACGCAATCCTGAAAATGGTCTCCTAAGTGTGAATTTTGACTCTAAGGTACGATATAAAGCATTACAGTTAAATGTGTGTTGTCCAGTGCTCTTTCCCCGTGAGTTAGAAGTGTTGACAGAAATATAAATCAGGAATATTCCTAAAGTGAAATTAATATTTCAGTATATGATTAAATCATAATGCTTGGGGAAAGTGCCTTTGTTTTATGCTACAGTTCCTATGATTGTTTATATTATTGTCTTAGTTTTTCAGTTGGAAAATATGGTTGCCCTGTGCCAGCACTGGAGAGAATTTTCACCTTCAGAAATAAAGAAGGTGGTTGTAGTATTGAATGCTTTCTCTAGAGACAGCTGGAGGATAATAATAATAGTTGGCAGTTACCGTACAGTATATAGCACTTTTAGATTGCTAAACCCTGCCCGACCTCACCCTCACTCTCCTGGATCTAATTGAAAGAGGATCTATTCTATAGAGGTTCTTAAAACATGCTCAGCACCCGTAGTATCTGAGCACCTTACTATCTGAGGTTACACATAGAATTAAACAAAAACCACATCTTCTGAAAGGAGACTTAAAAACAAAATAATACTGCTTTGTTTCTTATAGCTAGTGGCTTTGTTGAGAGAGGTGACATATCTCCTGATGTTGAATCGATCTGATATTCCAGATTCTGCGTTAGCAATATATGAGAAAAGGAAAAATTTTGCTAAGGTTTGTGTTTTCAGGAAGTATGAAATATATCCTTTTTATTGCAAAATTTTTGGGTGTGTGTCGGTGGGGGTGTGTGTGTGTGTCTGCTCTACTTATTCTTCTGTACAATATCATTGAAATATGCCTTTCTCTTCATAATCTGGGGTTTTGTGTGGAGAACTCTGCAGGAGACCAAATAGATCCTGCAACTGGAAGGAAGGTAATGGGGTTGTAGCACAGTTTGGAATAGTGGCTATAGCATCCACACAGGCAGACCCAGTTCAGGCTGGCAGATCCACTTTAACTGCATAGTTAAAGTGTGGATCTAATAGCTCCTTGACTCATCCAGCTCCATGGTCCCGCATAACCCATTTCATGCTGACCTATTTGGGGCCAGAATGGTTCTCCTTTCTAGTGCACAGGGGTATGGTGGCCCTGCTGAATAGCTGCTTTGCCAACATAAAGAGCCATGTAGGTATTCAAATGGCACTGGGGGCCCTACTTTAGAGGAATTTCACCCTATGAATGTCTTTTTACACCAACAGTATATTGGAAACCTTGAACTCATTGTTCAGTGGTACAACAAACTTAAACAAACTGTTCTGGAGGTTGAATATCCTCTGATTGAAATTGAGCTGAGAGCCATTGATGATCAGTTAAGAGAAGCAGAAGAAGTGTTCACGTGGCAGAAAGAGAATTGCTGGAGATATATTGAACAAGTGAAAGCTACAGTGTATGACTTGGAGCAGAGAGTTCAACAGTCAAAGGAGAATATTAAAACAATTCAGCAGATTATGAATGCATGGGCAGAACACACACTCTTAGCCAGGAAAGATAATAGGAAAGATGCTTTGTTAAGTCTGGAGGATAAAGAAGATAGACTTGCTAAGAAATATAAGTTACTAAAAGAGGATGGCTACAGGATTCATCAGCTTGCTGAGGTAATTTCTGCAATAATCATACATAGTTTTTACATGATCTAATCTTTTTCTAAAAAGCATATTTTGATTATTATTATTAATTATTCATAACCACATTTGTATTAGTATCCTGCAAAGAATGTGTTAAATTAAGGATAAGTGGAGTATATCTAGAGTAGCAAGAAAGGGGTTATATATTTGGTGTTCTATAATCTGCAAATTGTTAGCATTCAGTTAAATTAACTGATGTATACTTGGACTGTTCAAGTATTGAAATAGTTATACAAATTATATAATAGTCCCTTTTAAAATTAACACATTTAAAGACAAATAGGGACAAGATGGAAAAATAATCTTGATACTGACTGAAATTAGCATTGCTTTTTATCTCATTAGATGAGGAATTACTGTCTAGATTGAATTACGGCACAGCCATTGTCTGTTTTGTTACCCTGGGGTGCCCTGTGATAAATTTTTCCTTTGACCTCTACAGGTAAAATCACCTTTGCAACTGGAGCTATACTGTAGTCTATCTTTCAGAGGGCATATTTATAAAATAATTTCTTTCTAAATTTTAAGATTACATGAGTTACGTGCTTAATGAAAAATGCTTAGTGTTTTATTTCCCTGTTATTTATGAAAGCTAAATAAAATGTAAGAACCCCCTCACAAAAATTCCTCAAACATCAGCTGCTGTGCCTCACAACTACCAATAATTTGCAAGAAAGTAATTCTGTATCGAAGTACTGACATGAAAAAAGATTTCCCACCCCAATTCCTTGCATGCCTCGCCCCCTTTTTTGCTCACTTCCTTGAAAATTTTCTGCTTGTCTGTTTTCTGGCACAAATTGTATGTCAGATGAAAGAGAAAATAGACGTTAAATATTTTTTCTTTATCCAATAACTTTTTCTTTTTATGCCATTACTTTGACATCATCTTCTGGTCCATGTGCTAATCTCTGTTTATTGATAGTGGCAAGTAAAGAGTTTGTTTTTATTTAAGAACTAGATCAGATGAGGATTTTTATCTTTTTGAAAAATATTATGTGTAGATAAACCTAATAAGGGCTTACACTGGAGTGCAGAACAAGCAGTAATGTGCTGTAGTAGTGTGCAATGATATTCTTTCAACATGGTGATGCTCCATTGAAATCACAATGTAACATCATAATTCAGGCCCTGAACTGCAATCTGATACATACAGGAACCCTGTCCCTGCACAGAGTTCCACTAACATCAAGGGGCTGCAAACAGGTGCAAGGTCCAACCAGGCAGATCAGATTTTAGGATCAGGGCCATACCTGTTACAATGGGTTTCACTGGAATCTTATTTTGTCCTAGATACTTACCACATAAAATGGTATTGAAGCAGTTAAATATGTTGAATGATGAATCATTTGCACTAGATAATTGTATGATTAAAACATTTTGTAACTTGTTTTTTCTTTCCCAGGAAAACTTAAAGCTCTTCAAAGCAGATTTTTCCTCAGACTCTTGGAAGATTTATATAGAGTACATTGATGACATTATAGTTGATGGTTTCTTTAATACAATAATGCACAATTTAGACTTCTTCTTGAAGAACACAGAGAAAGGTTTGAAGCCTGCTCCATTTTTTCAGGCACAAATGATCCTTAGCGCATCAGAGATCGAATTTAAACCTTCACTTGATAAGGAGGCTGGAGATGGCTTTTATGACCTAGTAGAAGAACTTTTGAGCAATGTTTTCAAAATGTCTGCCCAGGTGAAAAGAGTAGCAGCACACTTGGAAGTAGAAAATTACCAGGTATTTTATACTTTCTCCATATAAATGGGAGTAATAAATCTAATTTAATTTAAAATAAATGTGGATTGCAAAAAATTTGAGCTCCACAATTAATGCATCATTGTGAGGGAGGGACCACAAGCCTCAAAGCTGGGCCCACAGGCAGCGCTCAGGTCACGACCGCTACTCAGCCCCTAGGTATCTGAGTAACTATGGAAAGGTCCAGGGAAGGGCTAGCTTGCAGAGGCCCCTGCCCTCAAAGCTCTCAATCTGGGGAAACATCCAGCTCCCCAATTGGCTAAGGTGTAGTATATAAACCAGGAAGTTTGTCCAAGCAATTGGAGGAATTCTTGGCTGGCTGAGACTATGGCCCCCTTCTGCTTACCTGACTCCTGACCCCTGCATTCCTGCCTGTTCCCAGTTCCTGCTTCCCCTCCTGCTCCTGGTTCCTGTCTTCCCATCCAGACTCCTGTTTACTTCTAGTTCCTGCTGTCCTGCCCTACCCCAGACACCTGCCTTACTCTGATGCTGTCTCCAGCTCTGACCCCTGGCCTTGCACCTGATTCTGTCTCCAGCTCTGATCTTTGGTTTGGTATCTGATCCTATCTTTGGCTTTGACCTTCTGCTCCAACCGTTAAGCTTGATTGGCCACACCCTGGTCACTGCAATAATGTGCAAATAGCATCAGATTGTAAATACTAGGTCTTGTAAAAATCAATGGATCTCAGAATACAAACATCAGTGTAACCTCTATGGATTTCAATAAAGTTACTCCTGATTTTTACCCATGTCAGTTGGAAGAGAATCTAGCCCTATATGTCTGTTTTCTATGATATATTAAAAATAAAAAATTGCACACTAGAAAAAAGTTGTCCCTTTAAACAGATTTAAACAAAATATGGAAAAAGAGTTACCTGAAATGTATATTTAAAAATTTGCATGATATTTTTAATAAAACTTATCTTTTTGTTCTTGGTGTGAGATTCAATCTTCCTTGTATGTCCTTCTCAGCCCTGAAGGTCCACAAAGTGACCTTTTCGGTAAACAAAGCTTAATTAGTTGTGGATATGAGAAGGGCAACATCCTCTACCTGGAGATTTGAATTATATTAATTCCCTGAGATGTTCAGCCTCAACTAGCTTGCTGAAGATCTCTCCTCCTCTTTTGAAATGACTGTTTGTGTCAGTACTGTATATGGCATTGTATCCGGAAGTATAGAGAGCTGCCCAGATTGTTTATGGAATCACTGAAATGTAGGGCTGGAAGGAACCTCAAACGTTCAGTCCATTGCACTAAGGCTGGATAAACTATACTTAGACAATCCCTGACAGACGTAGCTTTGCAGTTTTTGGTGGCAGTGGTGATGGGGATTCCTGAGTTTTGCAGCAAGTGTAAAACTAGTTAATGATTTATGTATTAATATTAACCCAATACTTAATATAGTTAGCTTACAGCTGTAAAATAACTACTTTTTTCATACCTAGAGCGATATGGACAACATGTTAGATCTATCTGAGATCAGGCAGGAGATTATGGACAGAGTGGCAGATGTTATCAGGAAAGCCCTGGACTACAGAAATTCTCTGGACACCTACGCTTATCTCTGGGTCGATGACCGGGCTGAGTTTATGAAGCAGTTTCTGCTGTATGGTCATGTTTTAACTTCCGAAAGAGAGAGAAGCTCATGCCGATGAGGGAGTGCCTGAACAGCCGCCTACTACTGAGCAGTTTAAACAACAGGTAAGCAAGCAAATAGTCATTTGCAGCTTTAACTTACTTTATATTTGAGTGAGACACGGTAGGTGAGGTAATCTTTTATTGGCCCAGTGTCTATTGGTGGAAAGGACAGGCTTCTGAGCTCCACAGCGTTTTTCAGGGTTGGGGAAGGATATCCGTGTCTGAACTAAATACAAGTTGGGACAGATGAAGCATATGGGGTAAGGCATCTTGTAAGAGGCCACTTGAAATGGAGTGGGTAATAAGGGTTAGATTGCTATGCAAAAGGGTTTTGAAGTGGGCTGCTAAGGGTTAGCAGGCAGTTAGCTGTGTTACAAATTGTTGTAGTGAGTTTAAAACCAGTGTTTCTGAGTCCATAATTTTTAGTGTCTGGCTGCATTATCAATTTAAGTTCCCAGGCTCACCATTTCAAGGTGGTGTTGTGCAGGTTTCCTTTGCGGATGAGTATTGAAAGATCAGATGTGGAGTGATTGTTTTGTGAAAAGTGTTCACCCAAAGCTGACATGATGTTTTTGGCTTTATCATTTTTCCGTGTGAGTTTATTCGAGAGCGTAGTGATTGTCTGGCCTCACCCACATAGTTATTGGAGCATTTGATGCACTGGATGAGGTATATTACATGTTGTAGGCACATGTAGGACCCGTGGCTCTTGAAAGATGTGTTGTGGGGGGGGGGTGTTTATCATTGTAGCAGTGGAGATATGTCTGCAAGTTTTGCATCGGTTGTTCTGGCAGGATCTGGTGCTGCTCTGAGTTGGTGTGTCCTGGTCTGTGGGGAGCTTGCTCCTGATGATGAGTTTGGTGAGATTGCAGGGGGTGTTTGAAGGCCAGAAGAGGGAGTTTTGGAAAGGTTTTTTCAGGATGTGGTCCCCATTAAGAATGGGTTATAATTATTTGATGATATGTTTGTGTATGTAATATAATCTTTTATCTGCTGTAGATTGACATCTATGAGAATCTTTACATTCAGATGAGCAAGTTTGAAGACTTCAGAACATTTGAAAGCTGGTTTAAGGTGGATGTGAAACCTTTCAGAATGAGTTTGTTAAACATTATTAAGAAATGGAGCTGGATGTTCAAGGAACATCTTTTGAGATTTGTCATTGACAGGTAAAAATGCACCCTATTTTCAGAATAATTCTAACTTGCTGTTTTCTTCTTAATAGTCATTAATATCTATTAAATAATGTAATATTTCAGCAAACTGAATTTTGCTCTGATTTACAGTCTGTGCAACCTTATTACCTTAAACTTGTTTGTTTATCATAGGATCATAGAATATCAGGGTTGGAAGGGACCTCGGGAGGTCATCTAGTTTAACCCCCTGCTCAAAGCAGGACCAATCCCCAACTAAATCATCCCAGCCAGGGTTTTGTCAAGCCTGACCTTGAAAACCTCAAAGGAAGGAGATTCCACCACCTCCCTAGGTAACCCATTCCAGTGCTTCACCACCCTCCTAGTGAAAAAGTTTTTCCGACATCCAACCTAAACCTCCTCCCCCACTGCAACTTGAGACCATTACTCCTCGTTCTGTCATCTGCTACTACTGAGAACAGTCTAGATCCATCCTCTTTGGAACCCCCTTTCAGGTAGTTGAAAGCAGCTATCAAATCCCGCCCCCCCATTCTTCTCTTCTGCAGATTAAACAATCCCAGTTCCCTCAGCCTCTCCTCATAAATCATGTGCTCCAGCCTCCTAATCATTTTTGTTGCCCTCCACTGGACTCTCTTTCCAATTTTTCCACATCCTTCTTGTAGTGTGGGGCCCAAAACTGGACACACTATTCCAGATGAGGACTCACCAATGTTGAATAGAGGGGAATGATCATGTCCCTCCATCTGCTGGCAATGCCCCTATTTATACAGCCCAAAATGCCATTAGCCTTCGTGGCAACAAGGACACACTGTTGACTCGTATCCAGCTTCTCATCCACTGTAACCCCTAGGTCCTTTTCTGCAGAACTGCTGCCCAGCCACTCTGTCCCTAGTCTGTAGCAGTGCATGGGATTCTTCCGTCCTAAGTCTCTGCACTTGTCCTTGTTGAACCTCATCAGATTTCTTTTGGCCCAATCCTCTAATTTGTCTAGGTCCCTCTGTATCCTGTCCCTATCCTCCAGCGTATCTACCGCTCCTCCCAGTTTGACAGACTGTACATCCAGGCAGAATTTGTGCTGCTAATATGCAATCTTAAAGATGAATGTGTTTAAAATATTTGTGTGTAATGGGATAGACTTTTAACAGTGCTTTTTAATTAGGTGTAAACGACCTGACTTTCAAAATTGCTGAGCACTGGCAAATCTCATTGCTGTCAATCTAAGCTGCAGGTGCTCAGCACCTTTAAAAGTCAGGCCAAAACTGTTTTAAGATATTCTGAATGAAAAAGGTAGGTAACCATAATGGAAATTAATTTTAAAGATCATTGTACATTGGATCACATTCATTTAAAAAAAGGTTTTCAGAGTTGAAATCTTATTTTCTTCTCTTTTGATAGTCTGACTGACTTAGAAGAGTTCATAAAAGTGACAGATGCTGGACTCCAAAAAGAAGTGAATGAAAGAGATTATAATGGACTAGTAGAAATCATGGGGCATCTCCTGGCTGTAAGAGACAGACAGGCATCTACTGATGAGCTCTTTGAACCTCTAAAAGAGACTATTACACTGTTGGAAAGCTATGGACAGAAGATGTCAGACCAAGTTTATGTCCAGTTAGAGGTATTGTAAGATTAAAAATAAAAAAGAACACTCCATACTTATGTATGTATATGGCCCCTCACCATTCTATCTGAGCATTTCACAATCATGTAGAAATTTATAATAGCAGTCACTTTCTTCCCAGCCATAGAAAAAGTAGCTCTTATAAAAAATTTTAAATGTATTTGTTTTCTTTGTATGTGAAGACCTTATTGAGGGGAAAACCAAGTCAGAGAACTTTTTGCAATTTAGTTCTGAACAGGATGGGGACCGTAGTCTATTTTTGCCACTTCACACTGTGAGTTCCATAGACTAGGTCCAGCTCCTGTGAAAGTTCTGTCCCCTGCACTTGCAAGCCGCCCCCTAGGAGCGGACTTTTCATGGTTCCAGTGAAATATGGCTATTATGATCACGTATGGAGAAGGAACTTCTCAGGCACCTACGGCCAATCCCATGAAAGACTTGGAATATCAGGACAGAAACCTTGCACTGAACTGTGGACTCTGTGGGGAGTCAGTGGAGTGATGAGCTCATAATGGTCTGTGTTGCTAAGCAGGTTATTGCATTTTGTACCATTTGAAACTTTTTCAAGTTGTGTGGCTTTGAGGACCATCAAGATTCAAGGTTACATATGCATGGGTAGCTGTAGCAAGGTCTGAGGCTGCTAGCATGAGGTGCAATCTTCTGACCAATTGCTGAAATTGGTGCTTTTTGCCACCATGTTAATTTGGGCATCTGATAGCATTGAGGAGTATAAAAAGACTCCAAGACTGCAAACTAGGGCAGATGCCTTCACTATAATATTTCTATTATTGAGGGCAAGTTTTCCAAAGAGCTTCCTTCTTCCTACCAACATCTCAGTCTTGCCTAGAAAACTTTGAATTTGAATTTGGGGATGGGGAGGTTGGGACAAAAAGGAATTTGCATAAAATATTTTAAATTTCTTATCTCCGTGCAAAAACAGCATTTCATGCACAAAATTCTGAGTTCTAAAATGGTCTAGAACAACGTGAACTTTTTTTGGAAAGAGAAGTTACTTTTGTAAAGGTTTATAGTGAAATCAGCAGCTAATACATAGGCAATACACATCCTGTTTTCCAAAACTCAATTTGGCTTGTCACATTTATTTTTACTTGCATTTATGAAATGCAGTAGGGGGACCCCTTTGTTACTAGTGAGTTCTTAGCACCCATGACTCATCTTGGGGTGCATATCCCCTCTGTCTGCCTATTGGGGAATCAGGAATTCATCTAGAAAGCATTCCAAACACTTATCAGTAACAAACTCTCAACTTTATCAGCAATGTCACTGTGTCTATTCTTGGGGGAATTCTACATCGCTGTATGTGCACAGAATTCATGTCCCCTGCAGATTTCTTTGCTTCCCTGCAGAAAAATTACTCCTTGCCGTTTCCCTTTGCTTCCCCATCAGAACAGTCACATGCCCCTCCCCGGCAGCACAGGCAGGTTGGTTCGGGCACCTGGAGCAGCCAGTAGAGATGTAAATCAGTGTCTGAGGTTGGGGGGCTGTGCAGGGGTGTGAGTGTATGTGTGTGTGTGTGAGAGAGAGAGAGAGACACACACTCGCTATTGCAGCAGGCTTAGCATGGAGGGGCAGGGCTTCACAGTGCTACTGAGGAGGTAGGCATGGGACAAGCACTGTCCCCTCAGGCAGAGCAGAATCTAGCAGCCTGCCTGCTTAGTGAATTGTTCCCATTCTCTTTGTGAATTCCCTGAGGAGTATAAAACAGGTGTAAAAGTTTTAAGGCTCCTTTACATTGCCAGAGTGGTGTAAAGGACAGTACAGCCTTATAAATGCTTGTGTTGATTTTGTGATTAGAAATGGTCTACATTTTTGGACTGAAAAAAATTTCCTATCAGAATGTGCTCCATGAACTGTTTGCTACTGACCTTTCTGGAGATATTCAGTAGCTAATATAAATTGTGAGTTTGATTCCACAGCCCTCACTTGCTCTTCAGTTGCCTATGATGTAACACTGAGCACACGGCTGCATATTGATTGACTAATAACTAGAAATAAAGGGTCAAACCTAGTTACATTACCGTTAGGCAAGGAGGTTTGGGGATTTCCTCCAGTGCTCCCCACTCTCATTCTCCATCATTGTATTGTAGTTTAAATAAATTACCAAAATAATTGAAACCAGAGGGATTATATTCTGTTATTTTGACAAATAAAATATGCAGAATTTTGCAGAATTTTATAATACTGCATGCAGAATTTTTAATTTTTTGGTGCAGAATTCCCCCAGGAGTATGTGTCAGTCCCAGACAAAGGTTACCTTTGCTTCCTTGCTGAGTCTAGGCAGCTTTCTGTGTGATCTTTTCTATAGCAGCTTTCATCTGTCCCTCTCTCTCAGCACAAACAAAACTGCTGCCAGCTGCTGCCACATCTTATCCAGCTTTTGCGCCAGCTTCAGCCTCTCAGTCACGGAGTGAAGCATCTCATTCCCTTTTAGCTCTGTCTGATTCCTACATGCGGTGCAATGCAGGCTTAAGGAACCGCAGGCTTAGGCTGCCTTGGGCTTGTCCCTGAGCCCAGAGCTGATTCGCTGCTGTTTGTGTCCCTGCTGCTATTACCATAGCCAATTGGTGCTCACATCACTGTGTGCTGTACTTTCTTCCCAGGAGAGCTTGCCACAGGAAGTTGAGCCTACCATTTCTCTGCCCAGCTCCTGTTTGCTCATTTCCCTCCCATCCACCCACCAATGAGAGGGCCAGGACCAGCTTTCATAGCACTGTCCTTGTTTTTTGGAGTGGGGTTTCCCACCTCTCCACATATGTTGCAAATTATTCTTTTCCACTTTGATCTGGCTGTCAAACTACAGATAACGTATGTTTCTTATAAAGGGTTGTGTGTCATTGTTCTGCTAACAAACTCTTGCCTAGAAGGAACTAACGTGAAAAATTAGCAACCTGGAACTCATATTTTCCTCATGTGTAGGTCTTCCATGAAAAATTGAAAATTAACTTATAAATTTTAAAAGAACTTAATCTTGTCTTAATTGCATTTACAGAAGTTAATTGTTCATTGCCTATTTGCTTCTGCTGAATGCATGAGTTTTAGGGACACTTAATCACTTGACCCAGTGATTCCAGCCTCACAGTTACAATGTTTTCATTACAGACTACCAAATCATTGCATTATCTTACTGAGTCATTTCTGGCAATTACTGTTGGTTATACTCTTCCCTTCCTACTCTGCCCCTCGATCCTCCATATCAAACTTCTCAAGATCTTTTGTTGTGATGTCTGGAAATCATCAACCAACCAATTGTTGACTTGATTGCTGATTTTTGTGGATATAACTTATGGAAAAAACTTTCAAATGACTAAGGACCATTAAAGTTGTGCACACGGCAAAAATATGTAACCATATGATCTTATTCTTGTTAACTTCATCCTCTTCCTTTCCAATAATTTCTTATGCTTACTTAATCATTGGACTGGAAGGGATCTTGAGAGGTCTTGTAGTCTAGTCTCCTGCACTCCAGGCAGGACTAAGTTTTATCTAGATCATCGCTGACAGGTGTTTGTCTAACCTGCTCTTTAAAATCTCCAATGACAGATTCTACAACCTTCCTAGGCAATTTATTCCAGTGCTTAACCACCCTGACAGGAAATTTTTCCTAATAGCCAACCTAAACTGACCTTGCTGCAGTTTAAGCTCGTTGCTTCTTGTCCTATCCTCAGAGGTTAAAGAGAACAATTTTTCTCCCTCCTCCTTGTAACAACCTTTTTATGTACTTGGAAACTGTTATTGTGTTCCCCTTCAGTCTTCTCTTCTCCAGACTAAACAAACACATTTTTTTTTCAATCTCCCCTCATAGGTCATGTTTCCTAGACCTTTAATCATTTTTATTGATCTTCTTTGGACTTTTTTCAGTTTGTCCACATCTTTCCTGAAATGTGGTGCCCAGAACTGGACATACTACTCAGTTGAGGCCTAATCAGCGCAGAGTAGAGCAGAATAATTACTTCTCGTGTCTTGCTTACAACAGTCCTGCTAATACATCCCAGAATGTTTTTTTTGTTTGTTTGTTTTTTGCAACAGCATTACACTGTTGACTCATATTTAGCTTATGATCCACTATAACCCCCAGATCCCTTTCCACAGTACTCAGTCTTCCCTTTTCCATTTTGTATGTGTGCAACTGATTGTTTCTTTTGAAGTGGAGTACTTTTTGCATTTGTCCTTATTGAACTTCATCCTACTTACTTCTGGACAAACTAGACAAATGGTCTGATCATTTTGAATTTTAATCTTATACTCCAAAGCACTGGTAATCCCTCCCAGCTTGGTATCCTCGGCAAACTTTGTAAGTGGCCATTATCTAAATAACTGATGAAGATATTGAACAGAACTGGACCCAGAACTGATCCCCGTAGGACCCCACTTGATCTGCCCTTCCAGCTTGACTGTGAACCACTGATAATTACTCTCTGGGAATGGTCTTTCCAACCAGTTCTCCACCCACCTTATAGTAGCTCCATCTAGGTTGTATTTCCCTAATTTTGTTTATGAGAACATCATCTGAGATAGCATCAAAAGCCTTACTAAAGTCCAAGATATACCACATCTACTGCTTCTTGTTATCTGCTTATTGCATCATATTTCAAATTAGATTAATTTTTCAGGGCAGGGATTTCACATGTGTGGTTGTGTAAGTCTAGCACAATGGGCCTTAATCCTGACTGCACTATTACAATATAATAGCCCCTGAATGGCCTCTGAATCTCTGATATGTCGAGGCAATGAGAGTTGAGTGCTCCAGTCACTGCGTAAGAGGTGCCCAGTACCTCGTATCTTAGGTTTTATATGATTTATATTGAAATCTACATGGAATAGCTTAGTGAAGTGCATTTTAGTTATTCTGTATTTTTAGAAAAGTTTGACTTATTGTGCTGCAGCTACTAAAATCAGTCCTACCAAGCCACTGCAAGGAAAAAACCCTACCATATCTAACTTACTGTTAAAATGTCCGACACAATTTCTTTGTCCAAAAGAGCCAAGTTGTGAAATAATAATGAAAGTTAATTGTTCCCTGAATATTCGAGAGATTTGAGGTGATATCAACAGTATGTATAGATGGTTTCTAAGTGATCTATTCTGCTGTGTGAAATCTTAAAGGTCTCAGATGAGATAATTTTACCTTGTTCAACAGGAGTTGCCTGAAAAATGGAATACCACCAAAAAAATTGCTGCATCCAGAAAGCATGAAGTTGCTCCTCTTCAGACTTCTGAGGTCACACTAATCAGAAAAAAATGTGCTTCGTTTGATGTAAGCTGAACTCTGAATTCAGTTTTCTAACCTGTTTCTGATGAGAATAAGATCATTGACAATTTATTGCCTGTATTTCTTTTCATCAGGGGAAGCAGATAGAATTCAGAGAAAGATTTAGAGTGGAAGCTCCCTTTTACTTTGATGCAAAAAATCCATATGTACGTCTAGATAAGGTAATGGGAAAATAACAGAAATGCACATTTTCCTAGAAATCTTTCAGTATAAAATTAAAGTTTCAGTTTATGCATTAAAATAATTGCACATTTTGTATTTGACATGGAACTGATAGAGCTTGAGATTTAACTGCTGTATTCCTATCTGTAGCTCTTAAAACCACTACCAAACGAACATTGCATTTGTTTTTTATTTTTACTATGTACTTGCATATTCCTTTAAAAAGTATTAGTGGGATGCACTTTTGAATGCATTTTACACTGTCTTCTTTTTGAAGAAACATGCAAGCATACTGCACTATATAGTACAAAATGCATACAAATGGTGCATCATAGTGATACTTTTATATATAAAAAAACCCTGAAATGGTACTAATTTTTACTCAGTTCACAGAACAACTTTATACTGATAATGAGAAAAGTGACTTGCCCGGAGAGGCAAAATTGTGTAATTATTACAAGAAATCAAAAGCAACAGTGGTACATTAAGTGAAATTCTACATTGTAGTCCCTATGTTTTTGTGTATATATGTATGGAATATAACTGCGTATACTACCCTGTAGTCCTCTGAAATATGAAAGACTGAAAGTGAAACATGTAACATCTCTACAATATTTGCTGCAGGCTTTTGTTTTCAGATATACTGATTTGACTGTCATTCTGAACTTACCTAGACCTATTTTGTAATTTATATTCATGAGTCTTCTTTTCCTCCAAGGAAAATCGAGAGCTTGAGGCATTGGAAGAAGAAATTGTACAAATGCAGAAATATGCAAATCTTTTTGAAGTGGTTGTTCCAGATTACAAACAAATAAAACAGTGTCGCAAAGAAATACGGTTGCTCAAGGAAGTGTGGGATACTAATATTTATGTTACAGTAAGAGGTTTTATTTGTCTTTTAAAGGCACTTTATAGCTCTAGAAACTATTCTGAATGCACTATCTTAAGGGTTTCTTGAAGCATTCGTAGTTTTATTCTAAAGGAAGTTTTTAAAAGCTAAGCTGTAAATGTGGGAACTTTTTGTTTTCAATTTTTAAAAATTATTTATAAAAAGATGGTATATAGGAGTATGAAGATCAAAATATTGCTATTCTCAATTTTAACTACTTTCAAAATGCTTGCATTATAAAAACAAAACAAAAAAACCCCCACAACCCAAAACTTTAAGCTGATGGGAAGATTGTAAATACATATCAGTTACCTAAGGAATAAAAAGAAACATTGTTACAGACGTTTTTGGTTCTGTTTTTTGTTTTTTTTTAAAAAGACAGACCAAAAATCCAGAAAGCAAGAAAATTCAGCGTTAGGGTAAAGGAATTGCAGAGTTAAAACAAATATGTAATGCAAAGTATGGAAAGAAAGAGTTTAAGATACCGAAACAACAGCCTTAGCTCTGCCTTCAGATCTCTACCACCCTGTGCACCCTTCACACTAGCAGTGAAATTCTGGTACCATTGAACTCAATAACAAAATTTTCATGGATTTCATTGGTGCTGGGATTTCACCCTATGAGTCCATGACAAAAGTGGTCGTATCACAGTTACTGTAGTTCACATACTAAACACTGATAGTCTAGCAGGGAACCCTGGAGGCTGGGTACATCTACAACCCTGTTTCCTTTTGGTACTATATTTCACCTGTGGCTGCAGAAATTTTAAACAATGTCCAGAATGAGTTATGCAGTAAAAGATATGTAGCCTAACCACAAAGGTATACGTTTTGTTTACCATCTCAATGGATAGTAAAACAGGGAGAAGGCAGAGTTATGTTGTACTAAACACATTGCATATTGTATTTTGTGTGGTATCCATGCTGTATATTAAAGCAGCATTAAGTCTGACAGGCTATGTTGTGAAGTTAAAGAGAAAAGCACTTACATTCAGTTGACACCTTCATGTTACATCAGCCTTGTAAAATTCTACTCACTCCAAGAAAGCGGATATTTTTTTCCTAAAACAAACGGTCAGGATTTTGCTGTTTTTTCTTTCCCCATTAACATCGTAAAGGAGAGGTGTGGATTTGCTTGTTTTTGGCAGGTCTGATAAGTGTTCATGGCAGTTTCAGGACTCTCTGTGTGTATATCGTATCATATCTAGAAATGTAGATACAGTACTATGTATAGTATAATAAATGAATATACACACATGGTTCTACTGGCATTATCAGAGATTGAAGCTTGAAATGGCTTTAATACCTGTTTCATGTTTTAGCCTGGAAGACAATGGGTTATTTGGTACAGTCTGGGCTGGCAGTGGTGGTGCAGGCTTGAAAAGTAGAGATACTGTTTCAAGAACTTGGGCTATCACTGGATGATAGAACCACCCATCATATCCATTTATCTACTATATAGCAGAAGCTTGTTTTCACCGACTGTTGTTGACACTTTTATCTGTACTTACTGTTTCAGAGCAACATTGATGATTGGACTAAAACCCAGTGGAGACAGATTAATGTGGAACAGATGGATGCAGAGCTCAGAAGCTTTGCCAAGGTAGGTTCTATTGCTACAATTTATCTGTCTCCCTGCCACCCCTTTTTCACTTTCCCCACCCACTATCTGATGTTTCAGTTTATTTGTTGCTTTTGTCCAAACTGAACATTCTGGAACTTTTTTTTTCTTTAAACCTTTTTATCCTTCTGGCTTAGGTTCCTCATGCTGTGAGTGTATATGGTAAAATCTCACTGTCACTTTTCTGAATTGAGGCAGTCGGAAAATATAAAGAAGGTGGGGCTCTATGTGGGGCTTCTGCAGATAAAAGCCATTAGTCCAGAGATCAGTGGAATTTGCAGGTGTTTGTGTTCTGTATTTGGACAGATTTTGCTAGTCCAGGAGCACTGAAAGTCTGTTGGAGACTTTCACTTGTAGAGAAGAATACCTTTTGAAAATATGGAACTTCTTCCCTTAAAATATTAATAATGGTTTCCTGATGGGAGTTGTACAAAGGAGAAGGCAATAGTTTTATAGAACATGGGGAGATTGGATCAGAAACAGGAACTGAGATACCAGGAGAATTGGCAGGACCCTCTCTTATATCAGTGGTTCATGGGAAAAAGTGAAAGAGAGGTCTCTGTGGACATGGATCTTCCCCCCCCCTCCCCCCCAGACTGGTTTTACACCAAATTAACTGGACTTCAGTGGAGGTACTCCTTACTTATACTAGTGTAAGTGACAGAAGAATCAGGCCCATTGTGAATCTCTCTTAATTTTAAACCATGGTTTTAAATAAATAATGTCCTTCTAATCCGGACAACTGCTACACACTACATGTATGTCACATTCATCACATCTCTGCATGTACCAAAGATTTCCCCCTAGTTATTCCCCCTAGTTGGAAGTAGTTTCTTACATGCAATAAACTAACTTATAAAAATATTAGACCAAGTTCATAAGAGCCATAATAAAGGAGAGGGTTCTGGTTTAATCAGAATCTTTTTATAATCACTGTGTAAATATATTCATTTATTTATTTTCAGTTTATTTAAAACTGGTTCATCCAGAGATCTAGGTTAATCTACAGACTTTTTCAATAAAACAGTACAAGTAACAACATGACCAATGACCCAACTAAAACCATCCCTAATCTTGTCATAGCTAAGACTCCCATATTTATGTACCGAAGATACTCTTGGGGGAATTCTGTGCCACTGCGTGTGCACATAAAAATATGTGCAGCTCATTAATTAACTTTTTTTGCGCAGAAAAAACTTTTGCTAAAAGTTGCTGCAGTTCTGCCTTTTGCCCACCAAAGGGCACTGTGGCAATAGACCAGAGCAGCAGCTCCTGGCCAGCTAGGGAAAAGAAGGAGCCTGCCTTCTTCACAGTGCCTGTCTGGCCAGGTCATGAGACAGGGGCTATGGGGAGACCAGAAAAAGTGGAGCTGCTTGGGGGAGGGTAACACACAGGCTCATAAGGGCTAATGGGGGAGGGCAGCCTGGGGGTGAATGGGAGTGGAGGCACGGGGATGGGGGGAGTGGGACAGGGGGTGCAGGGACACATTCATTGACTGAATGGGAGAGGCTAGGGGTCAGCCAGGGTCTGCATGGGAGAAGTTCCCTAACAATCCCTCCCCGCTCCCCCAAAAAACCCTGTTCCATACTTTTCCCACCCATACCCAACAACCCTCCAAGTTCACACCCAGGCTTCTTCCCAGCAATTACTTTCCTCTCCCTCAGTTCCTCCATTACCCCTGACTCCCCCAAGCCTTTGCACTGCTTCTGAGGGGTGCGGGAAATACGGTTCTGTATTGTAGTTTAAATGAATTATTACTCAGAGTTCTGTATTAATATGCCTAGTAAGGAATCTATATGTCAAAAACATTTCCTCAATCTTTTTTGTTGTCTGTATTGTTACAGATGTACTTGCTGACAGGTATTTTGAAATAAATGACCAAAAATATTTGAAACTGGTGTGATTATATTGTGTTATTTTGACAAATAAAATATGCAGAATTTGCAAATGTTATGCACAGAATTTAAACCTTTTGTTGCAGAATTTTTGGCACAATTCCCCCCAGAAGTAAGAAGAGATGTTTTGGAAAGAATTTTTTTTAAACACTATCAGCAAGATGAATGGTGACTTTATGATAGTAGCACGTAACCATGACCATTATTTTTATCCTGTTTCTTAGGAAGTGTGTTCATTGGACAAGGAAATTCACTCCTGGGATGTATACATAGGTCTGGAGTTAACAGTGAAGAACCTAATGACATCACTGAGGGCAGTATCAGAATTGCAGAATCCTGCAATAAGAGAGAGACATTGGCACCAACTCATGAATGCAACAGGTGTAAGTATCCAGCAACAAACAATGCTTTCTCATGCCATCAGTATAGTGGTACTTGGTGGCATCCAGTGTGTAATTAAGCTAGTGGTGCCAGGAATGAAAGGAGCTGATTGGTTTCCAGGATCAGAGCATATCCTGCTAGTGCAGAAAGGAAGGTTTTGGATTCCTAGATCCCTTCTGTGTTGAGAGGTGACTTCACAGTTTGTACAAGAACAAAAGGAATAATCCAATCTTCTGAAGTCAAACCTGGCTTGCTTAGTAAAAGGGTTGCCAACTAGATTTGAAGGGAGGGTTTGATTACGGGAAGGGATGATCTCTTTTCTGTGTGTACCGGTTCCAGTAAATGGAGCCCAATCCTGATGGAGGCTGTTATAAATATTTGCAAATAAGCAGCAGCTGAGTGCTGCATTCAAGAAGCCCCAGAACACAAACATGGGAGGTGCCGTAACATGCCTTTCCAGCTCTCAGAATAAGTATGGGACCAGTGTCCCACAGCATTCTGGCAGGATTAAAATACTGCTAATAATTATTGTTAAAAACAAGCTAATAGTAATGTGGATGAAATGTTTTAAGGTTGTGATGGAGCCACTGATGAAGTGAAGAATGCCAGAGAGAGAGAAGGATGCAAATGAGGTTTATTTATTTATTTATTTATTTAGAAGACGCACACAACCTTTTCATAGCAAAGGCTGAAAGAACAGGGCGGTGGATTGTGGGGCTGATGCTGGATAAGACAAAGAGGGAAGCTGGTATAGGAAAAGGGTTGTTCATTTTACATAAATGTTTGGGAATAGAGCTGGTTGAAAAAGGAATTTCACAAAAAAAAGTAGAATTCAAATGGACCAACTTTTTGGGTTGGGGATTGTAATTTGTCATGAATTTTTATAGAATTTTCAGCTATTTTTTAAAAGGAAAAAATAGAAAACTGAAAAACAAAACATTTCAACTTCAATAAAAGGCCATTTTTGGAGGAAAATTTTTAAATGTAGTAATTTTTCAATTAGCTCTAATTCTGAGTATGCATGACATGACTTCTGAATTAGAAACATAGACGATGAGGGCAAAGTATGTTTTGGTTGAGGTGACAGATTTGGCTAAATCAAGACAACTGGAATATTAAATAAAGAGGGTTTCGAGTTCATGAAAGAAATGTACTTACCAAAAGAGGAGGAGAAGTGACAATATGGGGAAGGGAAAATATAATTTACAGAGTATTTGATGCATCCACACAGGGAAGTTCCAATGCAGCACATTGGTGCTCACTGCTATTCACGCTTCTGAACTGTGGGGCGGTGTAGACATAGCTTTTGTGTCCAATCCTGAAAAGATTTACTCATGTGCTGGCATCTATGCACTATAAGTACTACCATTGACTTGAGGACTGGCGCTCGGTTTCCTGCCAGTTCACTCAAACAGTATCTATGCACTGAGTTCAATGGTGAAAATAGTCACGAGAGGATTATAGCTGTGGCTAGTGTGAGGATATTGACTCCTGAGGACACTTAAATCGGATTCTATAAAACCTCAGCATAGGTGCTGTTTCTCTATACTTCTTGATATAGTACTACGTTGAGAATTGCACCACGTTTTAAACACTATAAAAGCCTTGCTTAAATCTTAGACTTTACAGATCTCTAATTTTCCTAACATCTATATAAGGAGAAGTTTTTGAGATTACCTTACATTAAAAGCCTGCTTCAGCCATACTCCACTAGGGAATATGTGTCCATGTTGGGCAGGTATTTCCAGATGAGATAATCTTATTTCCAGTACAGTTGATGGAGCAATACAAAAGCACAGTGGGAATCTATGACATTCCAGGGTGCAATCCAGACTCGTGAGTGGCTGTGTCACCCCTGCCCTGCGAACTTTGGTATCTCCCAAGGCTTTGCTACAGTAGCTCCCACCTGGGCTTCTCACAGACAGCCTTCCAGCATGCAGGTAACACCTGAGTCTGTGCATAGCTGCAGCCTGGCAGCCACATGTCCATCACACTCTGGTTTCCACTAGTCTTGGTTACCACTTGTAGGGTGACCTCAACACAATCCCATGATTTCTCCCCAAAACATGTGTTCTGCGCTGTTGAGCCCTCTCCTGGGCAGTCCAGTATATTAAGTCCCTTGCTCCTCTAAGGGAATCAATATACAACAGTTTGCTACCCTAAATGGAGTTACTCATACAGCTCACAATGCTGGGTTAGTTTTGATTAAAGAATAAAACAAGTTAATTTAGCTATAAGGAGATAGATTTTAAGGGAGTACAAGTATAAGGAATTAAAGTCAGAAATGGTTACAAGAGAAAGGAAGCTTCCTAGTAAACTTAACAAGCTAGCCTTGGCTCAAGTTGAAATCTCTTCCCATGTTTCCAGTACCATTGCTGACCAAATTCTCAGGCCAGGATCTGCTCACACAGGCTTGCTTCTTTTGTTGTCTTAGGTGCAAGGGTGACAGATGGATAGGGAGAGAGAACTTGGGGTGTCTTTGCCCATCACTCTTTCAGTTCTGTCTCCTTTTGATGATGCATTTTCCTGAAGGTTACCCCTAGATTACGTTCATTCCCACTGTGAGGATGGAGACAAGGGGTCTGGTGGTGAAAAAGGTTCCAGGCTGTTGTTTGCTAAGATGCAGGTTTCTTTGCTCCGACCACCCTTTCTTGCTAAAGAATGGCCACTTGAAGGTGATGGCCCAACAGCTTTGATGACATCTGGCTGGATGCGTCAGCTTGTCCTTTGTCTTTGAGAAACATGTTTACCTGCTCCCCAGACTTGTCTGGTAAACACACTTCAATCATGGTTTCAGCTTATGTTCATAATTTTACATATAATGTTGCTACACACACTTCACCATGATATTGACCAGCAAGGTATTGGTTTTCAAATGATACCTCACAAGGCATATTTTGTACAAAGATTTTGTTTATTTTACAGGTCAGATTGTCAATAACTGAAGGCACAACCTTAGCAGACTTGCTGGGACTACAGCTGCATAAGGTGGAAGATGAAGTGCGAAGCATTGTTGACAAAGCAGTGAAAGAGCTGAGCACTGAGAAGGTGGGTTAATCCCATTTCTCTTTCTGTTATCCTCTGGCATGACAATCCTTCATATTAATTTACTCATGAACATGGACAAAACTTAGCCACAAATTTCTTTATGACTGACACACATAGTTTCATGTGACCTAGTTGGAAAGGGATATGTGATGAATGGCAGTAGATGAAAGAGTGTTTAATTGTTTTGCATGTGGTGTATTTTACAAATACTGCTTTTTGAAATAGAACAGTTTTGTTTTGCAACCTGAGGCATCAAACTTAAGTACTGTATATAAAAGCGTTACCTCTACCGTTTTTAACCAGATTCTTACAGAGATCAGCCAAACATGGGCTAACATGGAGTTCTGCTATGAAGAGCATCACAGAACCAGAACTCCATTATTAAAATCTGATGAACAGCTTTTTGAAACTTTAGAGAACAACCAGGTAAGACTTTGGTGTATTAATATTACCAGTACATGTATTCTCGTTATTCCTGATGCATTTTTAATAGTTTAAACTCACAACTTTTTCTAGAATGTTTATTTACAGTGAATCCTATTTGCCCCAGATGTTAGTCTATAAAATTATATGTATGCTGTTTAACTATATATATCTTAAGGAAAATTTCTGTCTCTGTGTAGGAGTTAGCAAAATTACAGCTCCTTGGTCTTATATTTTCGTAGATTCTTTGAAATCATTTAATAATATGTTGTCCGTTTGCAAGGCTAGAAAATGTCTTATGCTCTGATATACAATAATAATAAGTTGCAAGAGCATTTGTAAAAGTTTTCTTAGCTATGGCTCCTGTGCTTGATAAGTTATTCTGATTACCACTTTTTTGCTGCTCTCCTTCTGTTTTTCTAGGTTCAGTTGCAAACAATTCTGCAAAGTAAGTATGTAGAATATTTCATTGAACAAGTCACAAGCTGGCAAAGGACATTGAATGTGGCAGACTCAGTCATTGTCATTTGGATGGAAGTTCAACGCACATGGTCTCATCAAGAAAGCATCTTCCTTGGCTCTGAAGATATCAGAACCCAGCTGCCTGAAGACGCTAAAAGATTTGATGAAGTTGATGCAGACTTCAAAGTTAGTAGGACATAATTTATCGTAATACAGTAAAATGGTTCCTCTTGTCTTTTTATTTTAGGAAAAGTAGAGTGTCCATTATCTTAAATACACATCATAAAATATTATTGGTATTTTAATTATGATGTGTGGATAATTAGACTTCATTAATAATGAATAAGAAGAAAACCAAATATAACAGTGCAAAAAACCTTTATGCTAAGGAGCAGCACACCAGGATCAGCGCAGGGGAGAAGAATCCTGTTTCAGGCTATATCTATACTACAACTTCTATGCCAAAATAGCCCTTTTGTGTAGATGAATCGTATAGAAGGAGGAGATCTATCCCGCATAGGAACGCTACTTCCCTGAATGACAGTAGCTAGGCTGACAGGAGCCTTCTTCAGTCGGGATAGCTGGAGCCACACTTGGGGTTTTGTCAGAATAAGCTCCATTGATGGGAGGTGGGGGGTAATCTTTTGCACACCCCTGACCAACATAACTATGTTGGTATAAATTTTGAGTGCAGGCCAGGGCTCAGATAGACTTCCACGCTGCTTTAGGGGGTAGTGATCTGCTACTGGTCCTTATCAGATAATACCCACATGTTTAAGTATGGAGGAAGAAATTAATGCTCCACCCAACCTCTGCCCCTCTCTGCCCCATCCCATCCACTGGTTTGGGTGACGGAATAGAGCACGTATACAGCACCTGTTTGTCCCTATAAACCTGGATCTAAGGTGTGAGGAGTTTTCTCCCCCTTATGGTTATATAGGCAGGGACATAATCCAGTCCATAGTATAGGATGATCGCAAATATTTCCAGTAGCTCAGTGCTGGACAAATTGTAACGAGAAAAGACTTTTAGAATTAGTTTTCTTATCTAATGGATGCATCTTGGTTTAACTGAGATCTGAATCTTTTGGGCTTGATTCTCTGTAGCTCTGAATCTTGTGTAGTCATTTATGCCAGTGCAAAGGAGTTGTAAAACACTGCCATTCTGATTTTGTAGTATTTTATGCTCACTTCTCAGCCTTTTTGTGTAGATGTGAATGACCACATAAAATCCAAGGCAGTGGAGAATCAGGTCATTTATATTTCAGTCCAAGCAAAGAAACATGATGGGAGTTAACACTTTTCTGCTACTGTTTGTCACTCTTTTTGTTCGAAGGGATCACGTGAAAGTGATCATGAAAGTGCAGCAGAAGTTTCTTTCCGCAGGCACAATTGACTTGTAGTGTATTTCTACATTTATTTAATGCTTTTACCTTCAATTTAAAAAGCTATAAAACTAAATAAATAGTTATAAAAATGGAACCAGAAATAAACTAATTAGTACCATTCTCTCCAACTCTTGCGCACCTTTATTAACTCATTTTAGCAAATGGTATATGAAGGAATTTCTTGGTTTGAATTAACATCTCTTCACTTTCACACAGGAATTAATGATTGAGACAGCGAATACAAAAAATGTGCTAGAAGCAGCAACCAAACCAAATCTATATGAAAAACTTGAAAGTCTGCAACACAGGTAAAATTGAAGCTATAATTTTGAATATGTTCAAATGTGTAGGTCAGGAACAATCAGTAAAGGAATGCTGGGAGGCTGCCCTGTGTGTTTGTTTTGTTTTGTTTCTTTTGTGCAGGTTGACAGCAACGTACTGTCTTTGAAGACTTAGGGCTTAAGTCAATATAACTTACATCCCTATGGGATGTGAAAAAGCCACCCCCATGAGCAATGCAAGTTACAGGGACCTAAGCGCTGTCCAAACTAGTGCTATGTCAGTAGGAGACGCTCTTCTGCCGACAGAGTTTCCACCTTTCATGGAGGTGAAGTAATTATGCTGACGGGAGAGCGCTCTCCTGTTTGCTTAGAGCATCTTCACCAGAAGCTGTATCATTGCAGCTGTGCTGATGTAGCACTTCTAGTATAGACTGGCCCTTACTTTAGATCCCAATCGTTTCCTTATGCTGTCTGGCTGATATTTTATCTATAGTTTCTTCCCTTCGTCAGGTGACACTCTGACACTTTAAAAAGAGAGCTTACCATGTGAGGCACTTTTTAAATATTGATGGTTTAGATCGTATAAACTTACCAATTTTTTGTCAGTTTGTTTTTTAAATAGTTTAATTTAGGTCAAATTTCATATCCCCCACCCATCTCTTCCTGGTTGGATCTGAGGGACTGGGAGATTTCTTTTTTCTCTCTCTCTCTCTCTCTCTCTCTCTCTCTCTCTCTCTCTAAAATAATGCTTAGGGCTGGAGATAGTGGACAGTATCCACCATAGAGCCTCCTGGAGCATGTCACTAGGTATGTCTTTAATCTTGCTCCTCCATTAAAGGTTCCAACCCAGGGGGAGCAGTGAAAACTTGCTTTGATTATAGGGATGCATTTTGGGAGGCCAAAATGATTAGCTGCTGGTCTGGTGGTACCGTTGTGGCTAGCACTGATAACAAGCCAGTGGAAGAGGTGGGCTGCTTTTTCTGCATAGCCTAAACCAGGGGTTCTCAACCTTTTTCTTTGAGTCCTCCCCCTCCCCCAACAAGCAATAAAAACTCCACATCAGTCACAACAACTGTTTTTCTGCATATAAAAGCCAGGGCCGGCATTAAGGGGTAGGAAGCAAGGCAGTTGCTCAGGTCCCACATCACGGGGGCACCGCAAAGCTAAGTTGCTCAGGCTTCAGCTTCAGCCTTGGGTGGTGGAGCTCATGGTCCTGGGCTGCAGTCCCTTGCAGTGGGGCTTTGGCTTTCTGCCCTGGGCCCTAGATCAGTGGTTCTCAAACTAGGGCCGCTGCTTGTTCAGGGAAAGCCCCTGGCAGGCCAGGTCAGTTTGTTTACCTTCCACGTCCGCAGGTTCGGCCGATCGCGGCTCCCGCTGGCCATGGTTTGCCGTTCCAGGCCAGTGTGGGCTGCAGGAAGGGCGGCCAGCACATCCTTCGGCCTGCGCCGCTTCCCGCAGCCCCCATTGGCCTGGAGAGGCAAACCATGGCCAGTGGGAGCTGCAATCGGCCAAACCTGCAGACACAGCAGGTAAACAAACCGGCCCGGCCTGCTAGGGGCTTTCCCTGAACCAGCGGTGGCCCTAATTTTGAGAACCACTGCTCTTGAAGGTCTAATGCCCTCCGTGCTTGGCAGGCCCCCTGAAACCTGCTCATGGTCCCCTAGGGGGCCCTGGACTCCTGGTTGAGAACCACTAGCCTAAGCAAGGGTTTTTTTTGTTGTTGTTGTTTTTCAAAGCAGCCTGAGACTTGAGCAGCTGTCCAGAGCCTCGCTGCCCCTGTCAGTGGCAACATATGCCACTACTCACATTATAAGAAAAGAGAAACTTGTATTACATCTTCAGAGTAGCAGCCACTTCCCTTTCCCCGGATTTAGTTGCTGGTTGAGGTTAACAGACCACCTCCACCCAAAATTTCCACCTCCCTGATCAACAATAGGGTATCTGTCCCCACCCTGTACTCCTTCAAGTTGGACGCTTTAGGGAAATAAGATGGAGGGAGACATCCACTTACCCAAAACAGTGTGCCCCCATGGACTTTGCTGGTACCTGCCTCCATGCAGCTTGGCTCTTTGGGACTTTCAGGATCACCTGAAAAAGGAGCATGTCCTGGTTCAGTCAGGCAGCATAATGTCTGAGAATTTCCATGGAGGGAAATCTGTAAAGCTGCCACCTGATCATCAATTGCTACTTTTATACAGCACTACAGATTTGGCTTTCATTCCTTGGTCGAGGTATCCTTCAGTAGAAGGGTGCTCCCTGAACTGTTTCACCATACTTACCCTAAAAAAATAAGAGGAAATCTTATTATTCCCTGCTTATCTCTGTCTCTCTACTAATTGCTCCTGAACCAATATAGAAAACTTATCTAGTTTCCTTTCTACAAATGACCTCTTTCCCACCCCATTCCTCCCTGAGAAGTCTTTGGAGTGTTTCTATAATGGCTTCTTCAGGGTCTTTGGTGGTTTATACCACCAAATCTATCCACTTTTAAATACCCACAACTTAATTCTTATTTTGCAACTTCATAAAAGGAAATTTCCCTTTTTATCATACAATTCTGAAATGTAAATGTCAGTAACATTTTCTTTTTATTTTCAGGCTTTCTCTTTGTGAAAAAGCTCTTGCTGAGTATTTAGAAACCAAACGCTTAGCTTTTCCTCGGTTCTATTTTGTTTCTTCAGCTGATTTACTTGACATCCTCTCAAAAGGAACACAGCCAAGACAGGTAATATTGCTTGCACAGTTTTGCAATTTCATTATGTCCAAAGAAACCCTTCGCAGTATTAATTGTGAGGTGAATATATATGGCTGCTTGCTCCTTTAAAGTATGATTTCACTGTAAACAAAACATAAATATTTGTAAATATTACAGTCACTGCTTGTTTCTTTGTTTTTTGTGGGGAAAAATTGTAAGTGCTTAAACAGGGTGTCACGTTTTCTGGTATGGCTTACAACAGAGAGTGCCAATCTTAGGTCAGACTGTCAGAAAACAGGGAAGACACTCCAAATTGGTGGAATTTCACTAACCCAGTAACAAATGTGTGCTCTGGATTACTATATTAGTCTCACCAAGGAGCCACAGACAGTCCTCTTAGGCTCTCCAGCCTCTCTTTACTACCCAGACAAACTGGACTTTGTGATGAAGAGTTATTAAAACCAAAAATCACCTTGCATTAAGTTACTCCCAACCACAAAGGGTTGGTCACTTACCCCAGGTCAATGGATGCTCTGGATCTCACATCTAAGATAATGCTGACAGCCAATTTCTTTAGTAAACTAACTAAAGGTTTATTAGCTAAGAAAAAGAAATGAGTTATTGAGAGGTTAAAGCAGGTAAAATACATTAACAAGTGAGTCAAAGTTTGTAAGTACTAAATCTCTGCTATTATTTTGGAATCTGCTAGTTTTTCATAAGTCTCTCAGGGTTACCTACAGAATAGCTCTAGGGATCTCTGTCCAATCACTCAGTATTCCACCATGTCAGAATCCATCAGTCCAGAGATACAGGATCACTTGTTTCAGAGTAGCAGCTGTGTTAGTCTGTATCCGCAAAAAGAAAAGGAGTACTTGTGGCACCTTAGAGACTAACAAATGTATTTGAGCATAAGTTTTCGTGAGCTACATCCGATGAAGTGAGCTGTAGCTCACGAAAGCTTATGCTCAAATACATTTGTTAGTCTCTAAGCTGCCACAAGTACTCCTTTTCTTTTTGAGGATCACTTGTATAGCTGCCTTCCCCAGAAAGCAATCTGGCTAATGTCTCCATCACAGCATGGGTTTTTCCTTTCTGTTGACTAAACCCAGACTATGTCTGTGGATTTCCCATTGTCGAACACAATGGCCCATGCTTTGAAATTAGCATGCTTCTTCATTTACAGTTCCAAGGCACCAATTCTTTTTATGTATGTATCAGTAATTGGGTTGCACATCAGTGTATTTATTTACAGCAGTCCAAACAATCTTTCATTAGTTTTCATGAAGTTTTACACATTAAGTAAATTCTCATCCTAATACTAATGCACCTTTTGATCTAGGTTTCAGAGGGGTTGCCATGTTAGTCTGTATCAACAACGAGGAGTCCTTGTGGCACCTTAGAGACTAACAAATTTATTTGGGCATAAGCTTTCATGGGCTAAAACCCACATAAATTTTTTAGTCTCTAAGGTGCCACAAAATTCTCGTTGTTTTTTCTTTGATCTAGGATTACCTAATTACAGGATATACTTTACATGTAGTTACATTAATGTGATAACAGACAACAGAATACAGATAGGCAAAAACAATACAATCAAATCTCCTTTTGATTTATTCTAACAAATGAATTGGCTTGAACACACAATGACCTTTTAGCATTTCTTTGATATTTACATACACCCTATTGCTCTAGCCTGAGCTGGCTATCTGCTAGACAGCATCATACAGGAAGAAATGAAACAATCTTCAAGGGAGGAAGTGTTTCAAGTGGTGTGCCTTCTCTTACAGGAAATATTACAGATGGCATGTGCACAATATCTCATAGAAAGTCAAAGATGGAAAAGTCCTATGAGATCATCAAGTCCATCCTGCCTGTGGCCCAGCATTTGTTAGAGATCAAATCTCAGGCATGCCACTTGTAACAATGACAAGTAGCGCTGAAAGATCTATGGTGTTTGTTATATTGTCACTGATTGAGCTTCTGACTATTGTACTTGGAATGTTTTTGTAACCATGACTCTGTTTGCTCCCCTCAAACAGTAATCTGCCAGGTTGTGTGACAGCTAAAGGCTCATTTATATTGAAGCATCTGCACTTGAATATTATTCAGAAGCTTTACATCACCTTATCTACAAGCCAGATGGCATCCCAGTAGTGACCATTCCTGCTGCAGCCATTAATTCTCAGGGTATCAGAATTATTTCTGTGCCTTAGGTGCAGCATATTTAGAAGGGATATGATGCCTAAAGCAAGGAATAATACTTTACCAAAGAATAAAGGACTCATGAGACTCAAATAATGATCTTTTAAAAAATACAATCATAAATTCTCATAGCTTCCTTACATAACTAAATCTTATGGACCTGTATCATCTTTAAAACTGCACATTCCAGTAGAGAGACCACTGCCACTGAATTGCCCACTCATGCTAGGATTGTGGCATACGGGCAGGGCAATGAGGAAGTTTTTGCACTACTACATCTCACGCCACATTTATTTTGTGGACAGTGAACTTCAGTCTCCCTGGCTGTCAGGCTGGCACTTTTTTCCCATGAGCACGGAATGTCTCTTAAGCAAAGCATTCAAATATAGGCCTAGGATCCTGATCTTGCATTCCGGTCTTTGTGGGCAGAGCTCTGCACCTGTGTGGCGTCCTACTGAAGTTAGCTCCCAGCGTAACTTAGAGTAACCGCAGGGCTTCCACAATGTTATGGAGAATTTGGTCTTTATTTCTTGATTATCTTTAAGACCTAAGACAAAAATGCTGGTCCAGTGCTGCTGTCCTGTTTAACTCCTGCTAAGATCAAAGCAAGTTCTGTGTGTTGAAGGCCTGTAGAATCAGGCTTGTATGCAATTGGGGTGGGTGGGGGGGAAAAGCGAGAGAATGCTTATTTACCTACTTGTCTTAATCCACATAAAGATAAATGTGAATTAAAAATAGAAAATCTGAACAAATGTCTGGTGGTTGATTTTCTTAAACCTGTTATATTGTCTGGGAACAGGTGACCCGTCATCTTACCAAACTTTTTGACAACATTGCTGATCTTCAATTTCAAGATAATAAAGAGAAATCTGCACATATTGCACAGGGGATGTACAGCAAAGAAAAGGAATATGTTCCATTCCATGCAGAATGTGAATGCGTTGGTCAGGTACATTGTGTTGTTTAAACTTCCTTTGAGGGCATTTTTTTTCTCTTTGGAGTTGGAGGAGAGGCTAAGTGAATATTCTCTTCTGCTAAACTTACTGGATATTTGGGGGGAAGTACACTGGGTGATGATGGGCACCATATAAAAACATAGGAAACCCCATGTAGAAAAAGGAACACTGCTCCCTGCCTGCAGAGTAGCAGCGCTGGCCCATCTGTGTTCAATTAATTACTTCCCCCAATTTACAAGAGGAAAAAGGAGATTCAGGGAGAGGGCTGCCAATGGGAGGAGGTCAGAGGAGAAATCAGCTGTATATTGTGTTTGTTTGAGACTGTGCTTAGATGGACGGGTTCTTGTGGTGTTTTCTTAACATTAAAACGCACCTCACAGGTGTTGAGATTCTATTCAGAAGGTGACGGTCACGTGATCAGTCTCACACAGATTAACCTGTCACACTTTTTTTCCTGAAGATTAAAAGATATAGACGATGGGGGAGGACGCAGTCGCAGCATTTTGCGCTCTCTCATCAGCAATGATCATGGATTCATAAATGATGATGGCTGAAAAGATATCCTGGGTTTGGACTCCAACTGGTAGCATGGAGCAAGATTTTCCCCTACATGGTTGCTTTTCAAGGGTTTTTTCCTAATTTCTTCTTAAACACTTCTAGTGACAGCGTCTATAATACTTCTCTAGGCAGAGCATTCAGTTGCTCTCTTGAATACTGACTGCACCGGTTCACAAAGCAGTACTAAACCCAATCCTGATAGCATGGAAAACTCTCTTTTAATTAGTGAGCTGTAAAGCAAGAGAGTGGCAACCACAGAATGTTCTGTGGATTCACTTTCTGATGTGAAGAGCCTTCCAAACATTGATGGTTGTGGGTTTTTGGTTCAATTTCTGAGTTCCATTCCATTTTAATATACAATTAAGGTCATAGGATTGATGAGGGAAGGATTATGGAAAGGAAAGAACCAAATCACAAAAGATTGTATGTACAAGTTTCCCATGGAAGGTTCTGAAAGCCATGTATCTGTGTTGTTCAGAATTAGTTTGGATGGTGCATCTTTTCACCTTTACCCTCAGGTATCTATAAAACCTATTTTGCAGGGACAAAAATATAACTCCTCTAGCATCTTTTTTTAAAATTACACCAGTACAGAACTTTAATTATTGATGGCATAGCCTCTTCACCAACATAAGCTTAGGATGGGTGCTGTACAGTTTTTCCCACTGGAGACATGGGCCTCCACAAACACATTTGATATTTATGGACCGTCTCTGAGTGTTGGTACTCAGACAGATTGTGTTTGGATGGCTTTAGCTCTTTTAACAAATGTAACTTCACTGGAATCTAAGGGCCAAGCAACCATGAGATCATTTGTGCAAGAAATGTATCATATAAAGCTGTTTCTTGCATCCTTTATATCTTCATCATATATTGTAATGTGAAGAAGAGCTCTGTTGCTTGAAAGCTGCTTCTCTCACCAACAGAGGTTGGTATGATAAAAGATATTACCTCTCCCACCTTATCTTGCTAATATACTGCGACCAACACAGGTACTGTAACTCTTCGTTCTTCTTTGAGTGATGGTCCCTGTATGGATTCCAGATGTGGGTGTGCATGCGTCCCATGTTTCAGAACCAGAACTTGTTCACAGTAGTGTCCATTGACTCGCACTTGTGTCGGCTGCGTGGTGTGTCTGAGGCTTTAAGGGGCTATGTGGGTTGACGCCACTCCAGTTCCCTCTTACCGCCGCATGACCAGGGTCAGCACCCCTGTTCCTCGGTGCTCTTAGCTTGCTAGTAGAACTCTTTGTCCATTCTTGCCTTCTGTGGATAGGTTTCCAGTTTTTTCTAGTTGTATACAGTCATTTAGTTTTTTGTTCTGCTGTTGGATTTTTTCCCCTCAAGGGGTGTCCCTGTGCACACATCCTGCCCTTCTGGGGTCTATGTCCTGGCAGGCCGGCTTCAAGAACTGTGCTTCATGCCTGCGTTCCTTCTCTGTGACAAGCACCACCGTTGCCTCTATTCCTTTGGCAATCATCGTCGCCCACTGCTCCATCTGCCACTCAGTCCTACCTCACACTCAGGAAGCAAGAGAACTCCGCCTCCACAAGTATCTGATGGATGAAGCTATGTGCCCACGAGCACAATTGGAACCGGGACCAGCAGGTCCACTGGAACTGTGACTGTCACTACTAGTGAGAGTCCCACCTCCCTCCCATCGCCACTACCCGTGATGCCGCAACAACCGTAGAAACACCGTGCACATTAGAAGCATAGCCATGGGCATAAGGGTCGTGGCCCTGCCCGTGCTCCACCCTGAGGACCTGCTTCCACTTGTCCTCTTTCCCCGAGGCCCCATCCTTGCTCCACATCTTCCCATCCCCTCTCTGCCCTCATGGGGGCTTTGGGGGAGGGGGTGAAGAGGCATGTGCAAATGGTGAGTGGCCAGGCAGGTGGGGAGATCGGGGGGGCAGGCAAAGAGGTGTGAGAGGTCAGTGGGGGGCCTTGGGAGAAGGGGCCATATAGGGCTGGTGGTGGAGTGTGGGCATGGCTTCAGAGGGAGGGGGCCAAGCAGGGGTAGGCCTCGGTGCAGGGCCATGGTCTGGGGCCATGGTCCGCGCACATCCAGCCTTCCCAAATGGAGGAATCACGTGCCACCCATGGTCAGGGCCCTCCCGGACTGCTCTCCTGATACATGAGGCCATCCTCTATCCAGCCCAGGCAGTCTGACACACCCCGGCTTCCTGTGTTCCCACCCTGAAGCACGCTGAATGCCGCTACTTCCTCTTATCTAAAGGTATGGATTTCCTATTCACTCATCCCCCTCCCAATTCGCTTGTGGTCCATGCAGCGACTGAGTATGCCCGACAGCAACACCTCAAGGCCACTCCTCCAGTCTGGGTGGCAAAGAAGTTGGACTTTTCGGGGTGCAAGATTTACTTCCCTGTCAATTACCAGCCATCTTGGCAAAATATGATTTCCTATCCTATTCTAAGCTAGCAGAGTTCCAGCCCTTCTGGTGGACAAACAGCAGGACTTGCAGGTGTTACTTGATGAGGGTAAGCTCATCGCCAAGGTGGCCCTTCAGGCTGCAAGTCAATGCCCTTGACACTGCATCCTACGCTCTGGCAACTGCTGTCGTTCTCCGCCGGAATTCTTGACTCCAGCCCTCCAGCTTCCTTAAGGAGGTCCAGACAACCCTTGAGGACCTCTCCTTTGACAACCACAAGCTTTTCAGCCACAGTATGGACAAATCCTTCCACTCTTTTAAAGAATTCCCATGCCACCGTACGTTCACTCAGCATTTACACCCTGGCTCCGACCTACTGACAGCAGAGACCGTCTTTCCACCCCCATCTCTGATCCACCTACCAGCCCTACTTTCAATATTCATGGAAGGCCTCTCACCATTGCCAACATACCCAGTGACCCCATTATTCTGACACTTCCACTGCCTCGGCCCAACTTCACTGTCATCCAAGCAGCCCTTTTGATTCCCCCTTCAAGACCCATGAACCACCTCACACCCTTCCTGCAGCATCCCATATCATCTTCAGGGGCTGTCTTGCCGTGTTCACCCACAATTGGGGCAAGATCACCACTGATCAATGGGTACTTGACGTCATCTGTCAGGTACTAGATAGAGTTCCACTCGTCGTCCCCCCCATGTCACCCACCCGTTGTGGGGATCCTTCCTGTCATAGTTTCCTCTAAGAAGAGGCACAGACACTCCTCTGGAGGGGCTCCGTCGAATGCATCCGCCACCATTACCATGGCCGTGGATTCTATTCCCCTTATTACTTCGTGCCGCCAAAGGGCAAAGTCGCCTCATACGCGACTTCGCCAGTGCCTTTCCCTCCTTGGCTGCATGGCAGCCTGCACCTCCAGTACTCCTCGTGCCTGCCTGCATATCTGCTTCCTCCAACTGTAGCTCCAGTAGATTTACAAGATGGTTCAGATGGACCACTTGGGCAAGCATATTCTGCTTCCCCCTTCTGTTCTAGCTTCCCTCATGTGGTGGACGAACCCATCAAAGGTCCTAGATGGCATCCTGTTCGCTCTCCCCGCACCACTCTCACCACGGACATCTCCCTTGTCGGGTGGGGTGCTGATCTGGAGGGCTGTTTGGCTCAAGGCATCTGGACACTGCAAGTAGCATGGATGCACATCAATATATTGGCATTTCAGGCTGCCCACCTGGCCTATCAGGCTTTCCTGCCCCTTATCAGATCCTGCCACGTTCAACTGAGCTTAAGAACAGGTTTGCAGAGTTGGAAAATGAAGAAGGGGCTCAGCAGGTAGTCACTGAAGGTGGAAGGGCAAGGAAGAAGAGAAGAGTGGCTAGTCCTATAGGAAAAGGGGAAGTGTCACTGGAGACTACACCAAATATGAGCCCCAGGAGGATACAGGATGGGTTGAAGAGGATCACAAGGGAGAATAGGAATGGAAAGAACTTGCAGCCAGAGGGAACAGGGGATAGACTGATAGATAGGAGAATAGCATCGTCACCTGGAAAAGGCAGGTCTGTGTGATTGGGGACTCTTTACTGAGAAGAATAGACAGGCTTGTAACCAGAGCTGATCCAGAGAATAGAAGGGTGTGCTGTCTTCCAGGTGCTAAGATACAGGATGTAGACCTGAAGTTGAAAAGGATCCTAAAGGGAGCAGGAAAGAATCCCCTAATTATCCTTCATGTGGGAACAAATGATACGGCTAGATTCTCGCTGGAAAGTGTTAAGGGAGACTATATTAGGCTGGGGAAGACGCTTAAGGAAATCGAGGCTCAGGTGATCTTTAGTGGGATTCTGTCTGTTCCTAGAGACGGGCAACAAAGGTGTGACAAGATTATGACTATCAACAGATGGCTTAGGCAGTGGTGCTATAAGGAGGGCTTTGGGATGTATGGCCACTGGGAGGCATTCATGGACAGAGGACATTTCTCTCAGGATGGACTTCATCTGAGTAGGGAAGGAAATAGACTTCTAGGATGGAGGC